CTGTGTGTGTCTGTGTGTGTCTGTGTACGCGTGTGTGTGTGTGTACATGTGGGTGCTGTGTTAGGGGTTGAGTGAGTGTTCAAGTACGAGAAAGTTTTTATGTATATTTTCTTGCACCTCTTTATTAAAAAAGGCTGTGTAATATATTAAGTGGGCCATGTTAAATAATTAATTTTAATGTATTGATTTTTCAGGTTGCAAGACAAGATGTGAAACTGTTTAATTGGCTAAATATAGCTTACAGACACCGTAATTTTCAAATGCACCCTCATAATAAATTTATCAGAATTTTTTAAAGAGACTGAAAGCACTGACAGGCTTGTTAATATTACATGTATTACGAAGGGGGAAGCAAAACAATTACTTAAGACTGACAGCCAATATCTGTTGCTAAGCTAAAATACACACTCTCTAAGCTAATCGACAGCATACTCTGCTTCCTCCCCAGCGTTCCGAAGATGTTGACTTTTTGAGAAATAAATTCGTATGTCATCGTATTTTATTTCCAGCCGCAGCGGGGTTAGGCTTCGGGTTAAATCCTTTTCCACAACAATCTTGTTAACATTGTCCTTTGAATCTGCTGTCCTCTGTGGAGTAATTGCACCGATAATATCACAGTACTACCCTAATGCGTTTTCTTTGTCTGTGTATAAATTACTTTCACTTGGGTTTTGACGAGTGTCTGTAAACACCCGAATAATAATCCGATTTACCGCCTTTGTGATTGTTTTGGTTGTACAGTACATTTACTTCGAAATACTTCGCGCCTCATTCTGCTTCGTATCTTACTCCCATCAGATGTAGTCAGGTTTTGAGTTGTTGCTTCAAAAACAGTAATTTACTGATATAAGACCCTTAACTATGAATGGAAAGTAGGATGGCATCAGGAAAATACACTTATTGTACAGTCATTTGCTGGTACCATGCAGTGCCAGGGTGATATGCGGGCTTCGCCTGACAGTGGGAAAAGCGTCAGAATTTTTTACGGAAAAATTACCGCACCTCATTGACTTGCATGTAACTCACTGCATATGAAACCTCGACATTAAAGATTATCGGGTGCTTAGTGAAAGCTAGCTCTCGGGGTGGATTTCTCTAAAGTTTGTGTCTTAAAAACCACTGTCCACTGTTGCAATTCCCTATGCCTCGGGGCACGGAAAGTGAGCAAACACGAAGTGGGCTCTCTCACCAGGGCACCCGCCCGCGGAGCTCACCGATTGCGCTGAAATTGCGCTGAATCGCTGTGCCTCTGTCCCCACCCCCATTCGGCCGAAGCTCAATCGAGGCGTGCTGTGCTGTCGTCTGTCATTTGGCCGACGGTGCTCCATACGTGAATGAACCGGGCTCCGGCGCCACAGACGGGACGGAGGAGCTCCGCTACCTGACAGCTCACCGCTCTACCGGTAAGCGATGCGGCTCTCATTTTATCCCTAATGGTGCAAGGCACATACAGTCTAATTTGCATTTAATATAAGACCGACAGGTTGATGCAAAGAAGATGGGGGCGGATATATGGGGTAAGCAGTATTGCCTCGAACAGGGATTTCAAAGCATGGCATGATTTTGAGTCTGGGACGGCACTTTAAATGTGCCCGATACTAATGGTGCATAACAGTTAGACTCCTTATATGAGATTTCTGATTCTCACACCTCAGCGAATGTGTTTTTGGTCACCTGTAAAAAGGACAATACTCGGTTTTTGATTTACGTTAAGGAGAAACGAGCGTCCAACACCCCCATAGGAATGAGATTATGCAGCACGGTTTGCGGGATGTATTAACGGAGAGATCGTCGGACCTCTGGGGAATTGTTGGGGTTGGGGAATTCCTGTCTAAATGTGTCAGAGATTTATAATAAAGTGGAACCTGTTTGACATGCAAAATGGCAAATAAACTGAAGGGAGGCGTTTCCGCAAAGCCGATATTAATTTGCGCATAAATTGCGCGCTGCAGTTTGCAAATGCAAAGCCTGTCTATCACCCTGTGCGGTTTTTCGCCAGGATACCCGAGAATAAAATGTCGGGTGAAGAAAAACGACACATATGGTCTATGGTTTTGGCTATATAGATATATATAGACACACACACACACACACACACACACACACACACACACACATACCCATATAACTGCGGTCCCTTCCTCTGGTGGGTCGCACGTCGCAATCAAAGATGAAACAGTCTCTTAATGTAAATGATAAAGTTTTCATTGAGTCGGCTAGCCTTCCCATGTTCCTGGGCTTTGGGAAAGTTCACGTCTATGTTCTTCCAAGCAATGCTGTAGATCTAAACGTTGGCTCCAGTCATTTAATTACCACTGCAAATGTGTGTGGACGGTGAGTAATCCAGTCAGTGTGACTGTTCTTGGACACGCACAAAATAAACATTATAATATGAACATATTAACCTTAGATAGATAGATAGATAGATAGATAGATAGATAGATAGATAGATAGATAGATAAGGTTGTTGTATTACATTATATATAACATAGGCTATGGACTATGGAATTAACATTTTTTTTCCAGCAAAGATGATTTCCCTTAAATTACCAAAATTCCTCACGCACCCACCTCTTGTTTTATAGGGGACCTTTTTAAAATTTGCATTGTGCCATGTAATGAAGAAATACAGCAAAATATTTCTTTCTGTGAGAGCTCAGTCACTATAGGTCCCCGCCGCCTCCTGAGACCCATATGAACACGGGCTAGCGGACATGTATGGGATTCAGGCACCGGTGACGATGACAGGCGGAATGTGCAGCGACAGAAAATGTCCTCGCTCCCTTCCTGTTTAAAATACGGACCTTACCCCCCTCAAATAATGAATGATTTATTTCATTCAACAGAGGCAATGACAAGCCAAGCCAGACGCTTTGATATTATTCCGAAGGGCCGGTGATCAGACTGATGAAAATGTTGCACTGTAACGACATACTGAATACTGCGCGTCTGCTTTTTATTTTCCACTGTGTTCTTTTTATTTTTTTTTTTACATTATTTGTTAAGATGAAATCATTGCTTTGTTTTACACGTTTATGTAAATCCCGAAAGGTTTTTGTGTTTTGTTATACTTAAAAAAGGAGTTTATCCATTAAGTTTTTGAGGCTTTGTTGCCCCAGACGCTAAGTAGTATGTAATAGTGATTGACTTGACAGATCTGTGATGCCTATATCGCTACTGTCAGTACATTTAAACCAGTGTTTCATTCCACTGCCCTTTCAGCGAGTGTTACCCATACCATTGCTAGTTACATATGTGTTATTGTAACTAGATTGTTTTAAATGTATTAGATTATTTAAATGTGCTGAAAATTGCACGAGGTTCCATATAACATTGTTAAGAACATTGTACTGTTTTGAAAGACCATTTTTCGAGTGATACTTTACCTATTGCAATATGCTGTCTATTGTCTGAGCATTATATCAGGTTAATCTATAAATCTGAGTTCTGAAGGACACACACTTCTTTCGGGTTTACTCTAAGATTTATCTGGAGCAATTTGGAATTCTGCGCATTTTCGGATATCACCCCACATGTGGGGATGCTGCTCCACTCCGGATTCAGGCTGAAACAGCATGTATGGTGCCTGAAGAGAGGAAGGGAACTGGACTGGTAACCAGAATGATGCAGGTTCTGATCCAAGAGCAGTAGAGTTTTACCCTTAACAACGTATGGAATTCTGATGTAATGTCTTTTTTAAAAAATTCCTTCATAGAATTTCCCGTTACTCCATTTCTTAGTGGGCCTCTGCTAAATGCACGTCACCAGCAGCAGTCGAGGAAAGGCAACGAGTATTTCACTGCTCTTCTGACATCTGCAGTCTCTGTCAGCTGAAGGACATTGATCAGAGAAGAATACCTTTCATCACCTCATTCCAGGGTCCATTTTGCTGGGTGGGCATTGCTTTCATTACACTAAAATATCCAGCAGCAGGAAAAAGTGGAGGAGTGGCAAACTGTGTAAGTCATGTGATCAGTCACATGAGAGCAATAAAAAAAAATCTTACCTTCTTAGAGAGGATACATTATAGCATGTGTTTTCCAAGGAAATGTTCTGGGATCAGCATGATCGCGAGTAGATTAGCAGTCACTACAAATGCATGGATGTATGCAGGCGACTGGAGAATTCGTGAATCTAGTATTCAGGTTGACGTTAGCCAGGAGCACCGCTAGAGATTTTGGGGGCCATGAAAGCATATCATATGGGACCCCAAGCCAGACCAATCCAATTATGTTCCAGATTTTTTGGCCCCTGTCATTCAGGGGCCCTTGGACTACTCCTTTATGGCGCCCCCTGCTGTCAGCATCACCTGTGTGAATTATTTTCCCATTTCTATGTTTACCAAAGACATCGCTTAACTATCATTATACATTTTGTTAGCAGCTAACGGCTCCAGCTTCAGCCCAGTATACTGCTACTTACAGGTTATTTATTAGAATAAATCAGGAGCAACAGAGCCTTTCCTGGGGGCCCGAGTCACACCGCCATCTTTCCTGATAGCCAACATATTTAGCTCGTCCCCATAAAGGTCAGGTTTGTTTACGAGAAAGCCACTTAGATTTCCTGCGGGGTGCTGTGTGACAGCAGCGATCTGGACGCCCGCCTTCGAGTGGCGGGTCCAACAGACCCGCACTGTCAGGAACCAGCTCCCGTCAGGCTGAAGGTGACGGCTGTGACAGGGATCAACAACAACAGCAAAAACCAGTAAAGGGGTGGGTGTGAATTCCTAATAGTGCAGGAGGGACCAGGCGAGGGCACGCTGCCCCAGACCTGTGAACACGCCTCCATTGATCCATCTTCATCTTCAGGAAAAGCTGAGAACTACCATCCGACACACGTTTATCATATAAGACATAGCACAAAAACTTATATAATATGAACGAAAAACATCATACAGTGTATACAGTCATTTTAAGTTTTGTATATTCCTGTTAAAACATACGACCAAGACATTTGACACTGAATACTTATGTTGTCGCTACAGTGTACTTTGGGATTCTGGGTACGAATGTGATTGTTAGCTCACGTCATGTGCGGCAACGATTCCTGTAAAACCGGGGTGACCTTGACTTCACTAGCTGCATGTATTTTGAAAATGATTAATCATCAGTTAATTTTTAATGCACGTTGATGTTCACATGGGCATCAGGCAAATTTGTGTCATTTCATGTCATGCGAGGTTTTGAGCAAATTGTTACGTCTCTCGGGACTCAGCGGTGTCACTCTGCATGTGGCTGAGTTACCAAATGACTTAATGGCGATGACTGTATTTAAATTAAGGGCTTAGAGGTGCTTTTTAAGACTTTTTCCACAACCACTTACCCGCTACAGGCTCTCTGTGAGCCTGGAGCTTACAGTCCCAGGTTACAAGACAGGGGGACACCCCAGATGGGATCCCAGCCCATCACGCACTACATGATTTTAGAGACACTAATTCCCTTAAACCACATGCTTCTGAACTGTGGGAGGAAACCTGAAAACCAACATGGAAGGAATATACAAACTCGACAAACATGGGCATAAATTAGCCATTACAACCTCCTAGACTCCCTTTAATGGGTAGAGACCTCAACCCCCCCTGCCCCCAATGTTCAACCCAAAGTTATACCTTTGTCGGGATCGAACCCACAACCCTTACTTCACTTTATCTGTTTCCAGGCTGCAATCATCCTACCTACTTCATACTAACATTGAGCTTTTTGGCTCAGAGCAGACCATCGATTCCTGGATGACCCGTTGTCCTCAAGTCAGATAGGAATACCCATAGGCCTCAGTCTTACCCAGAGAATATAAACTGTTTACATTAACATAAAGTATGTTATTTATATTTTTCTGCCCAAAATCTGGAGAATGGAGGACTTGCCCTCACATGAGTGGTGCAGGCATTTTTGGAAAATGAAACAGCTTTTTCCTGCAATATTGCTGGGGGCAGCAAATAACTTACATCATTATTAATAATTGCTTAGAAAGAATCTGACTGTACAGCGTACACCTATTTCAAATATAGATAGCATTTTTATCATGAGGGCTTTGTTGTGATGTGCTGGAAGGCCCCAACTCCTGATTGGCTAAAAGAGAAGGTGACCTGCTAGTATTCCAAGGACTGATTGGTCGACAAATGACTGGTCAGTGAAAGACCTGCGCGGTTTGAATTTGTACTTTGTCTTGTCGATGTTTCTGCTCAGGCTGGGAAGTTGAGTGGTGCCTCATGTCTGATAGCATATCAAAGAACCACAGGTGACATTTTGCAGTAGCCTTTATACGGGCTATCCTCACTACTTATATGCATTATGGCGCTTCAGGATCTGGGAATGTGTGGCTATCTGGCTATCTAAGTGTCTGATGCCATGCGTGACTTTGTGATTGTATTTCAGTATTTGTGTTATATAATTAGCTTGTGAATATGTGTGTATCACTCTGTGTGTGTGTGTGTGTGTGTATGGTACTTGCATATGTGTGAGTTTCCAAACACGTGCATTTCAATATATGTGTGGGTGTTTTTTTTTGTTTTATATACATTTGAGGCTGTAATTTGGTGTGTGGGTGTTATAGTGTAACTTAATGAACCTTTGTGGGTGGTTTGTGTTATGATGAAGTTCTTCTCAGTGATGCTGATATTAAAGCCAAAACAAATTTTTTGGGAGGGATCGAAGTTCCATTAAGGAAATTAGTAGTATGCCCTCTATTCTGGAACCTAGAGCTAATGAAGGGTTTTAAGCACAGCGCCACCTGCTGCAGAGGAAGGCACAGTAACCTTTTATTCCAAGGCAGCTGGACATACTACAGTAAATGATGGCACAGCAGGATCCTTCTGGGACCTTAAATTTCTGTCCATCTGGCCTGGCTCCATTTACCCAGTACCATAAAAGACTGAATAATGTTGACCTCATCATCCTATGGGGAAAGTGCTGTTCTCTGACCCAGCCAAAGGCAGCGTTGTTGTAAATATCCAGAAGCCAGCAGGTCATAGTGCCTCACCAAAGGAAGCCTTCTTGTATATTATGTGATGACATGTATGAGTGTTGTATTAATTGTAAAACCATGTGAAGCCAATGTCCCTGCCCCCATGCAGTAAACAGGAGAATCTGATTGATTCCCTGAGCTGGAGACATAGACCCTTACTAGACTGTCTTCTTCAATCAAAGTCAGGAGTCTAAGTGAAAAGCTTGATAGGTTTCCTAAGTCGAGGGCTCAGGTCTTTATATCGGTGCACTCATTGTGTGTTTAATGCTTCGCTAGAGCTAATTATACAAACAAAAAATGAACAGCCCATAAAACCCCACCCTCATATCATTTGAACGTGAAAGTTCTGTCAGAAATCTCCTGTCATGAGCAGCCATGTCAAACCATGGCATCATCTCTGTTGCTCTGGGTTACAGCACCGGTCCCTGGCTCCAACTTCGAATGATTCTGAATGGTTGCCCTGACAACCGCACAGTGTTTTCAGATCGCAAGGCCTGGCCCAGGGACACATGGGGGCCATTTGGTCCGCAGTGGGCTTCTGGCAGGAAGTTTCCAGGCATAACTGGGGCTGCGGGCATCTTGGAATTTCAGTCCACCTGCGCCCAAGGCACAGGATATGTACCTCAGTGCTACGGTGCTTTAATCATGCATCTCCTTCCAGCCGGCAGTGGAAAAGGCCCTTGTGTTTCTCTAAGGCCGGACCGTAAATACAGCCTGTTCTATTATTTGATAAAGCAGCAAGCAAGAGGGTAATTGGATTGTGTAGTAGAATGGGGGTGGGGTGGGGGGTCGTCTGTGCCAGATCTTTGGTTTTCTGTATGGCATCGAACTCAAACAGGAAATCCAGAAGGAAAGGCAACAGGATGGACAGAACAAATCGCGCAACTTCTAGATAAAAGAAACACACACATGCTTGTATTCATATATTTGTGGGGACCGTCTAGTCATTTTTCTGGGCAAAACCCTAATTCCAATTATGAAAATCCTAATCCCAACTATGAAAACCCTAACCCCTACCCAGCCCTAGCCTTAACCATAAATAACCAAAACAAAATACAAGACTGTGAACATTTTTTAATTTTTTGATTGCAGTCCCCTATTTGAAATTGAGTTTCCCCTTGTGGGGACTGAAAATAACAGGTTTTTTTACATGGTGGGGACATTGGGTCATTTGTTATGCTGCCAGGTTGCAGTGTTTTTTTGTCTAAATATATTTTAAATGATTTTATTTACTGGTTATATAGGTATCAACCAGCAGTCTGCAGTCTACAGGTTTACATTATAAAACCGTGACCTAATTATTGTTCATATTTTCACTTCATTGGATAGAGACTGAGTCATGTCTCGGCTGACGACAGACTGAGTAACCAAAGGTACGGCCTGCTTTTCAGACCCTTGGAGGGTAGGAGGATCCGCACTGTCGCCTCCTACAGGACGTACACCTTCGCTGCGGTTGCTCGACGGCACAGCCGCGCTCTGCTGAACGAAGCACCTGACACCTGGGACACCCGACACAATGTCCGGCAAGAAGAACGGAAACGTTCTCGCCGTCCTCCTCCTTCTGCCTCTGGTAAGTAGCGAGAAATCGCGAGAGCTGGTCTCTCGCACGTCTGAGGAAGGTCATCCTCAGAAACATTCCCTTGTAATCCATCTCCGTCCGCTAGATTCCATCTAACTGAGACACCTGTGGGACTGAAGTGTCTATCTGAGGCGCAGTAGCAGACTTCTGCAGCATTTCAGGTCCAGGCTCAGGTTCCGGGTTCTTTTTATTGTCATTCTTAACACGTTGACACATGAAGAGAACAAGATTAATAACTTGGGTCCAGCAGCGTACAATACAGTGACAAAACTCAATAATAAATAAAAATCCAATAACTGAATAAGAGCTAAAATAGCTCACCACCTAAATATTCATACCAGTGAATGGGAAAAGTAACAGTTTAAACCAAGGTGTGTGGCGTCCTTCATTATGCTTCTATATCTGTTGACGTAAATGTCCTCAAATAGATAGAAGACTACTGTCCGTAGTCTTTTGAGCAGATTTTACCGCCCCCCTGCAGTGTCCTCCTGTCAGCTGCAGAGCAGTTCCCGTACCGTACTGTAATGCAGTGAAAACGCTCTCCACCACATTTACCAGAGTAGGGGCGTTGGGGCTGCACTGTGGTTGAGTGAGGTTGATTCTCTTCCCTCCCTCTGGGCATCATTTAATTTTTCCCAGGCAGCATGGGGTTTGGGGGGTGTTACTCTGACATTTATCCCTGTTATGGCCACCAGAGATTTAGAGCAGGGCTGAGCAGCGTGTCCTGCTGCGTCAAATGCGAGCTGGAGATCCCTGGAGCCGCAAGCCCCTTGAGTGCCTGCGTGTGTGTCTCAGCACATCGCCTGGAGGATTTGTCTCACCACTCCAGACTATTTACGGGCCACAATCATGGCGCAGAGTCGCATGTAGGAAGTTAGAACGATTCCCCGGCTCAGGATAATGTCATACAGACAGCGATCCGATTTCACCAGAACCAGCTGCAGAAGTCGTAGCTCATTCGCCGCAAAGGTCAGCGCTTAGCCTCCTCTGTCAGGCCAGAGGAATCTGAGTGGTGTGGAGTACCGTGGAGACCGAACAGCAACAGGGTCAAACCAAATGACTTGGGACAAATCGTACTGTTCCTCTATCTCCAAGGAAGTAGGTTAAACGTTGCGCCTGTATTCGCCTGCTAGTACCTAAACGGTTTGAGGGATCAAGGATCTTTTTAAGATTCTTGGCCATAGTCCTGGACTATCACAATTGTACTATAGTTACGGGCCGTGACTCAGCTTAGAACTTAATCATCTTGTGGCGAATTCGAAATAAACAGCCGACTGTAGTTAGCCCCATAACAACCTCAAGAGTTTAGAAGGATGTTTAGACTTGTTGAGTTGTTAAGACATTAATGGTTTACGTGAAACTGCGTCTTTCCCTGTTGTGGAAGCCATTTGGCCTTCCTGGTTTTATAGCATCATTTCCCCCTGCCTGGACTCTTCCTGCTTAGCAACATGAATAATAATTGGATCAGGAAGGAATGTGGAATGAAGCAGCATGCAGATGTAAGTGGATGACCTCATCCATAGTTGGAATAACCCCTCGCTACTCGCTTTGCGTTTCACTTCGGGCTAGTTTGTTTGTGCTATGTGTCATATTCCATTTTGAGCACTAGCACAAAATGGGTCGTAAAAATGTATTGCATTAAAGTCATTATACACAATTTTCCCTCATTTTATCGCCATGACCTCACGTGTGCCCTCAGTAGCCGAGTGAGACGGCGCGTTAATTCCTTTTGAAAAACAGTGCACAGACATAATTAACGAGATCTCGGGCCAATTAGTCGATGATGAGCGTGTCAGAGCGTTACTGCGGGCTACGGTTTGTCAGCCTTCGTTAGCGCCACGAGATGGGCGCCTGCACGGAGGCATGACACAGGCCACGGACGTACACGCCCCCTACAGGAAGGCGCAGTAATGCGACAACGCTGGTGCTAGTCATCACACCCAGTGGATAATCGTCCCGATCCTCATTTAAGCTTGTGGTTTACGTTCAGTGATCAGATTCATTTCCTGCTATCCTGTCCTCCTCCCCAGGCCTGCTGCATGCACTCAGAACATGGGGACTGCGTGATCAAGCGAGAGCAGGAGAAGTGCATGGAGAGTATAGCCAGTGACAACGACCCCGATCGCCCAGGTATGGCTTGCACGCTGCCTGAGCACATGCGCACATGTGTGTGCGTGCGTGCGTGCACCTTGCCTCGGAATGGGTGACTGTTCTTCTTTAAGGATAAGGCAGAACATCATATATCATTATAGAAGAAACAGTAACATACGAGCAGTACACAAACGTACAAACGTTTCTCACTGATAAAAAGCATGTCCCAAACATCCTATATCCTGCTTAGAATATTTCCTTCTGTCATCAGTTGGAGGAAGGCCAGATATCCACTCTCTTATACCTTTGCACTCATTCTTCAAACCCAAATCACTTTTCATTTACATGAACTCTTACACAATGCATTCCAGTGCCTGCTGGAGCACATTTTAATATTTCTCTGGAAGACATTGCTGTGTCGAACCAGGGCCTCCTGTAACCGTGTTTGAAAAATAGTGAGGTCTGGGATGGGGGTGGGTCTCATCAATCATATTATTAATACCTTCCCATTCATTAGCTGTTTATTTTTATTAAAAAAAAATAATTAGTTATGTGAAATGTTAGTCAGCCTAATTATTTATTCAGTTGAATATTTAACTTCAATTTTTATTTTTAGCTCTTAAAAAATTACCGAGGTCCAGACCTATGTGACTTCATAGCTGGCTACCGCAGTGTGTAGACCACTAGGCCAGTGTACTCCTGTCAGCCCTATTACCCAAATCAATTATCTGTCTATTAGGTTTGCTGAGACATCACCCTCGTCTCTGATTAATTGCTGCTAAATTGTCGGTAAACTGACATGAACGGCGGAGAATCACGGAAAACAAATGGGATTGTTCGAAAAAACTTCAATTTGCAAAGGACGGCGAAAACAGAACGTAGGATTCTGACTCCATCTGACTGCAGTGACCGTGCGTCAGAAAGCAGACGAACATCGAGAAAGAGCTTTAAAAGGCATTTCCAGATTATACTGTGGCTGAGAGCCTAGGCTGACCTTTCCAAAATCACATTTACTCATTTTTATTCTGTGTTTTTTATTTGATGTTATTTCTCAATCGGGCAACTGCTGTCTCGGGGAAATGAAACAAAAATGGGGCAAAACACAGGACTGTGTCATTTTCCACGTGCCCTGGAGCCAGTTTTGAGTCAGAGTCCCGGGTGTCCATGTAGAAACTGGTTACCCAGGTGAGGTGTGTGGGGGGGGGGGGGGTTGCTTTTGCAATGCCACAAGTTTCTGACAGGGGAAATTTTGTTTGACCATGTTTATCCTTTTTGGGAAAGTGTCCATCACCCCAAACAAAATAAATCCCCCCCATGGGATGTCACTGTGAGATGCTATTCCAGACCTTCTGAAACATCCCATATTCAAATTCAGAAGAAATTACGAGTTGTGTATATATATAAATATCGTATATGACTGGCAGTTGGTGGCTAAAAAAAAACATCTTAAGGAGGTATGAAGATAATACATTTTACAATATTACAATATAACGTTATTGAATTTTACGTTTGCATTGCAATAGCATTTTTAGATGACAATGGAATTTTGTTAATGAGTTATTTCAAAGTTATTTGTTTCGGAACTTAATCTGAAAAATATACCTTCTCTACCTTAATAGACCAGCGTCATGTGTGTATGTACACACACACACACACACACACACACACATATACTGTATATACATACACACATACACAATGCCGTCATGAACTGATCCAAAACTAGCTATAAGTGGGTGGCAGGCTAGTGCATTAATTTTTAATGAATGGTTATTAGTTTACCTGAAGACATCACCCAACAGAGATGTTTAAGTTATGCTTTGCTTAAAACTCTCAAGGCTAACTAATGCCCTGTGCTAATCCAATGTGGCGGGAACGTGACCCCAGTCTTGGGTTCTGTTCCGCAGCAGACGGAAAGCTAGTTTAGCCTCTCCGTGACCCCACTTGTGTTTGTTTCGCAGACAGACGCATCAGAAGCAAAGTCTGATACCATGTTTTGTTTTGCTGATGCAGATGGACGTCTTGGCTGAGTGTAGCTGGATTCACTATCACTCTGGGTGCAAATGAGCGATGCAGATAATTGGGGTGGGGGGGGGTTGTGTCTCTGAGTGGAACCTAACTCTGCACCATCGTCATGGTTCAATTTGGCTGAATAGATCTATTGGATTCTTCTTCTTTCCCTAACAGCCTGATTTGTGTTGACAAACAGCCTGATTAGTGTTTGTTGTGAGTCTGAGCATGTTTGTGTGTGTTTTTCTGAGCATGAGCTACAGTGCCATGGAACAGCCATCTAGACAGGTATTAAGATTACAGGTTTGACCACCGCCCCCACTCCCCAAAAAATGTACTTGAACCCCCCCACACTTGGTCAGCAAAATCTCCAGAGGGGGATGTATCAGTCAGACAGTAGGGTTGCCGGACACCCCACAAAATTTATTTCTGGCTGCAGGCCTGCCTTGCACTCTGCTGGAGCCCGTATCATGACTCCTACATTGTCCCGTTTCCACGCTTGCTTGCTGCGACACTTTCAGCCCCAGATGAGCGAACATGGCTTGTCGTCGCAGGAAACAACGCCGACCCCTATCCTCTGGCTGACGTGCAGATGGCGCAGGAAGGCAGAGAGAACGAGACCCCGGAGAAGTGTAGCTAAGCACGCAATGTGCGTAATATGGGAGGGAGCAGAGAAGGTCTAATTTTTGGGAATAGATGACCTGCCCATGACGTCACAGCGGGAGCCACTGCGCTCACACCCACTGAGTAGCAAAAAAAGTGAGCGGCAGCGTTAGCGTTCAGCTTGGGTACCATAACAAAAACACATCTTAAATGGGAGAGAGCTGCCGTGCCATTCATTGTACAAATAGATTTAACAAGAAATAGAGCTATGTTTTGCTTAAAAACTACATAAAGGAGAAGCAGAGATGGACACAAATACAAATCAAAAAATCTTGTTACAAATAACAAGTACTTGCCATCAAATATAATACAAAATATTGGCCTGAGAAAATGTATGTAATTAAAATACAAGTAATTTTGATTTGAAAATACAAAAATACAATAGTATTAGTAACAGTACATGACGAACACGTGTACTGTTTCAGCTCAAGTAATGTGGAATTTTTATATAATATACTATTTGCCATAACTTTAAACGGAATAATAATGTTGTGATTTTCATATGTTATAGTGTTAATTGCGAAATGGAACATGACTTTTGTGACATTAGTGACGTAATAAGAGACTGCACCTGCAGCAGCGGGTTGGGGTTGGCCGGGACAGGGCGATTCCGTCTTCCGGCGATTCCGCAATACGAGACTGTGAACGTTTTTCATTTATACCCAGTCTTTCCCACAATATCCGTGGCGATGGTTGACAGCGGTGACAGTGTCTGCATGTGTGCACGCAAGGAGGCACCTTAACGCCTTGTTAAATTAATCATCATAATGCGTGAATTTCCCGCTTAGTCTTACAGTAGGGTGCGCAAACTCGAAGAAGTAACCGTTAGGTGTACGCGGCTGTGACGCATACAATACGCAATGTTAAGTTCACTGGTCTATAAAATCGCCTACGTTTAGCTTAATGAATCAATTTGACAATTTTATCGCTAGTGAAGGCTTCCATATGTGACACACCACAAGGCGCCACTACCTGAGCATGCCTGTTGAAATGAACCAGAATGCCACTAGCAGGCTTGCAAGTAATCAAACAAGCTCTAGAGCACAGCACTGCTGGCTGCTAATTGCACTATTTATCTGTCCTTTAGATGACATTCAGTGAGCAACATCTGATAGTATGTTTTACAATTTACAATTTGCACTGAGCAGCAAAGCAGCTTCTTCCCTTGGATTACAGGTCATGGGAAAACAAAGTTCACGACCAGCAGTTTGGGCCCAATGGGATGTGTCATGGCCAGTGCATATGCTCCATAACAGGATCTTCGCAGTAGGGACGGGGCTATGGGGCTACAGTGACAGGAGTCGGACAATTGGTGCACTGGCACCATCTGAAAGCTTATTGGCCCCCTGCTCTGTCACTCACAGATTCAAAACACATCATTGACTAATGATGAGGTTGCCCCCTCTCTATGAATTATGGACCCTCTTATGTCTCCCACCTTATAAAATCCTGGAATCACCCCTGTCGATCAAGACAGTGGTCAAGACACCTCAGCTGTAAACAGGAAAATTACAGGAACATGTGGGAGACAAAGAAATGAGGGACAGGCAGACATGATCAACACAAAAAGCCTTAGTACCCAACTCTCTCTCCTGTAACAGCAAGCACCTGCCCCCCCGCCTGCCCCCCACCTTCAGTGGTGCTCTGTGACATGTGCAGCCCAGTGACGCATTTTCAACTTGTTTTGCACGTAATTTATTTTTGAATTCTCATGCCGAATTTTCCCGGCTGGGATGGTGTGAAACAGCGTGAGGCTGGTGTGACATGTATAGAATGGAAGGAACGGAAAGGAGGGAGTAAACTGGAAAAGGAGAGTGAAGATGAAGATAGAGATACATGAAGAAAAAACAGAGACAAGAGAGAATGAAGGAGTGTAGGAGGATGATTAGGAATAAGAAAGGAGAATAAAAAGAAAATTGGATGGATGGCAGGCAAAAGAAGAAGAGAATGACAGAGAGAGAAACGCAGAGCTCCTTGTCACATTTTTCCCGCTGTTTCTCCGGTAGCTATGTGACTGAGCAGCTTGTCGGTCACACGCGTGTTTCACAAGGCGGCCCACACATCACCCTGGCTCTCACCGTCACAAACGCCGAACACGTGTGGGAGTCTTATGTCATTAATATTCATTACTTATTCATCACTATCCCTCAGTGCTCAGTGGGACAATTGGCAACTTAGTGGGGGGGTGGAAGGGTGTGTGTGTATGTGTGTGTTTCTGCATCTCAGTGGTCTTTCCTGGCGCTGGTTCAGCTGCATGGTTTTCTCAGGCAGTGAGAATTCAGAAACAGGTGCATGGTTTTCCCAGGCTGTGAGAATTCTGGTATAGGTGCATGGTTTTCCCAGGCAGTGAGAATTCTGGTATAGGTGCATGGTTTTCCCTGGCAGTGCGAATTCTGGTATAGATGCATGGTTTTCCCTGGCAGTGCGAATTCTGGTATAGGTGCATGGTTTTCCCTGGCAGTGAGGATTCTGGAATAGATACATGGTTTTCCCTGGCAGTGAGGATTCTGGAATAGATACATGGTTTTCCCTGGCAATGAGAATTCTGCAATAGGTGCATGGTTTTCCCTGGCAGTGCAAATTCGGGTACAGGTGCATGGTTTTCCCTGGCAATGAGAATTCTGGAATAGGTGCATGGTTTTCCCTGACAGTGAGAATACTAGTAAATGTTTATGGTCTTAACATGGTCCTGGTCATTATTCACACACCCGTGTTTAGCTTCCAAACCTACAGTTATTTACATGACTGACATTGGTTAGCATCTGGGTCTGAGTGGCAATTACAAGTCCGTTTCTGGTGCTGGTTCACCGATTTCCCCAGAAGCGTATAACTGGCTATCGTCTGCTCCAGGCAAACAGTCACTCCACTGATTTAATGAAATGATGGGCTTGGTACTCAAACATTATGGAAACAGATATTAGAGGATTCTCTCTCTGTTTCTCTTCTCTGTCTAATCACTCCATCTCTGCACCTTTGCCACTGTGTTCTCTCTGTTTCTCTCACTCTCTCTATTCTTGTCCACTATAGCTGTTAAATAAAGGCACAAGAGATGCTGAACATGATCTAATGGGGAAAGGTTAACATTAAAACCCACGTCTGATGGTGTGTGCAAATGTGTCTGTGTGTGCACTGTACTGTATCCAAGCCTTGTGCCATTTGCTGCCTGGGATAGGCTCCAGATGCACCCCCCCTCTCTGACCAGGATAAACAGCTAGAAGATGGATGGGTGGATAGATGGATATTACCAGTAAATACTGATTGTAAATGGAATCACACAGCTCTCTTCTGTGACGTACAAAACAAAAAAAACAGCCCTCACCCGAGAAAGCATTTTGGGGAGGGATGGATGAAAATATCAACAAGAATGCATGTTTTTTGAGCTATCGCTGCGAAAATAGCTTTCCGTGAATTTGGGTCTTAGCATGTGCTGCCATCTGCTGGACAAACTGCTTAACAGTGCTGATTCTACTTCGGCTTCTGTTTGCTCAGAAGTTAAAGAATATGCATCCCGAAAGACCGAATGAGCTAACGGTCTCTCCTTTGTTTGTTTCCTTCATCAGGCTGCCCGTGGATGTGGGACAACGTCACATGCTGGCAGCCGGCTGCTGTGGGGGACATGGTGACCATCAGCTGCCCGGAGATTTTTGTGGTTATGGGCCTAGGGGACGAAGGTGTGTCACATGTCACATTAGCATTGGTTTTCTTCCCACTTGACAAGTCTGGCCACAGCGATTTGCTAATGGCTTCAGCTTACAACCTATTCATTGAGTCGGGTACTGAGCTGATTTAGACAAAGTACTTTGCTGAAAGGTACGACAGTAGTATCAATCCTGGAACGTTCTGTGGTGGCCCACAGATCACAAGATGGTTTCTCTGCTTCCAGAATTAGCCAAGGTCAGCCGCAACTGCACAGAGGACGGCTGGTCAGACACCTTCCCACACTACGCCGACGCCTGCACCAACTTTGACAACGCCACTGAAATCGTGAGTGCTACCCTTCCCAGAATCCACATGGGTCTCAGCCGCCTGAACCAGCACCGCATGTCCCTAATCCATGATCAGGCAACCCCGAGCTGTACCGTGATATTACCGTCTCCTTCCCATTTACCATATATTGCTTGCCGAGGCATGACAGTTTTAGCCCTTCTCCATGTCATGAGCCATAGTGGGGACCCCCCCCCCAGCTGGGCTTTTCTGACATGGCGGGCCGTGATTGGCTAAGCATGCTGTCACATGGTGCAGTGCTGGAGAATTGTGTAGAAGGATGTTTTTGCACAGCAGCTTTCAATATAATTGACTCAGGGAAGGCTTTCAATAAATAATATAAAACCAAAGTAATGGAGTATTAAAGACCAATCTAAAGGGCAGAACTAGCACGCCGAATGGCACTGTGACCTCACCCTTCCAGGGTTGAGTGCTTGAATCCGGTCCCAGGCTCAGTGTTTATGGAAGCTGGCCAGGTTTCCCTTAAGTACTGTTTCAGTCCACAGTCCAAAAATGTGCAGTTAGTTGAACTGGTGTTTCTAAATCACCTATAGAGGATGTGTGTGCTCCCCCCCCCCTCTGCATCCTGGGATAGACTCCAGACCCCAATCAACTCGGTACCATATAAGTGGTTGGCAGATAGATATATGGACAGAGAATTAAACATCTAAACTTCTGTCTCTGTTAAGGTGATGATTCCTCCAGTAGTGTTTTTTGGTTATTGTTTAAAACCCTTCATTTCGCTAAAGCTATTTGCAGATATCCAGGGCTATCATTGAGATGAGTTGCTGAGGCTGCCATGCTTAGCTAACACTACAGCCGCTGATCATTAGCCTGGCACTGTGCCCACTGCCTTCTCCGCACCTCGGCAGTGATGCCCCAGGCCCGGCTCGTCATTACGACCGAGGGGGGAAAAAGCCCAGAGATACCAGTTTGTCCTTGTTCTGCCTCCACTTTGGCACGGCGGCGCCGAGCTGGCAGGAACCTCCCACCGGCATCCTCCTTCCTGCCTTTCTCATCGCCATAGCAACGTCCCCATCCAGGATGTTCACCCTGGTGGTGATTTCAAGCTTCGCTGAATATATTTTGTGAAGCACTGAATCAACTGCATCTATATAGTGTGTGTGTGTGTGTGTGTATTTCCGTGTGTTTCTGTGTATATATATATAAAATTAAGAGACCACTCTACCAGGCTGCAGTTTGCAAAAATATATATTATTTACAGATGCACACCCATAAATAGAAAAATATGTTTTTTCTGCGACTGCATACTCACACACACACACACACACACACACGTACAGACACAGACACACACTTTATGGACAATATTATTAGGACACCCACCGGAATTTTTATGACATCCCATTCTAAATCCATAGGCATCAATATGGAGCTGGTCCCCCTTTGCAGCTATAACAGCTGCCACTCTTCTGGGAAAGCTTTCCATAGGTTTTTGGAGTGAGTCTGTGGGTACTTTTGCACATTCATCCAGAAGAGTATTTGTGAGATCAGGCACAGATTGGATGTAAAGTGCTGGCTGTCAATCTCCATTCTAGTTCATCCCAAAAGTTTTAAATGGGGTTGAGACACAGTCTTGTTGGCACAGAAAAGGTTCTTCCCCAAACTGTTCCCACAAAGTTGGAAGCATAGAATTGTCCAAAATGTCTTGGTATGTTGAAGCATTAAGAGTTCCCTTAACCGGTACTAAGGGGCCTAACCCAATCCCTGAAATGTAGCCCCATACCATTATCCCTCCTTTACCAAACTTTGCCGTTAGCACAAAGCTGTCAGTCAGGTAATGTTCTTCTGGCATCTGCCAAACCCAGACTCTTCCACCAGACTGCTAGACAGAGTTGTGAATCGTTACTCCACATAGCATGTTTCCACTGCTCCAGAGTCCAGTGGTGATGTTCTTTGCACCACTCCATTCGACGTTAGGCATTGCTTGGTGATGTGAGGCTTGCATGCAGCTGCTCAGCCATGGAAGCCCGTTCCATTAATGCCAGAGGAAGTTATTGAGTCGACAGAGCATTGGTGACTTTGACACACTATGCGCCTCAGCACTTGGTGATCCCGCTCTGTCACTTTGCATGGTCCGCCATTTCTTGGTTGAGCTTCTGTTGTTCCTAAATGCTTTCGCATTGCAATAATACCACTTAAAGTTGACTATGGAATATTTAGCAGGAAAGAAATTTCAGAAACTGACTTATTATAAGTGATTAAGCGGTGTGTCCCAATACTTTTGCCCATATTGTGTGTGTGTTTGTGCGAATTAGGTTTATATTACATTGTGGGAACCAAATGTCCCCCATAATATAATAAAAACCTGCTTTTTTGATTTTGTGGGGACCATTTTTCAGGTTCCCACAAAGATCTATGAATGCAATCAAAAAAGTTAAATGCCAGAAGTCTTGTATTTTGTTTGGTTACTTATGGTTAAGGTTAGGGCTGGGTAGGGGTTAAGGTCGTCATGTTGGGATTAGAGTTTTCCCCATAGAAATGAGTGCAGAGCAATATACACTGATCAATAGACGCCTGAAAGTGGATGCAGTAGGATGTTAGTGGGTGTATCGCTTAGTGTAACAGGTGCAGGAGAATGGGCAGCCCTGCCGGCCATATAATGACCTGCTGTCCATGTTTAGCGTGTGATGCAGTATGCATACTGTAATGTCTATGTGATAGGCAGCTGCAATAAGCAGGTATGATACAGACACAGTATCTCACTCTGCTATTTTTTTACATAAAAATAAGCTTAGTGTATTGCATGATAAAATATTTCACAACAGCTTCAGGCACCGTCTGCTTTCTCAGCTCCCACTGTTTGCTGCTGCGTGCATCATTTGATTCTGTAATGCAATTCATGCCTTATTTTTTGTGAAATTTAAGTGCAATCATTTTTTTTATTATAAAGTATTGTGATTTTATATGCATGTTATGTGTTACTTAATATTTTGCCTCTGGCCATTACCTATCAAGATACGGCCAAACTGACTTGTGTCTTGACATTTGATGTTAATCAAAAAATGATAAAAAATTACTAAAACTTGTATGCTTCATCAATAGTTCTCCTGATTGATACTGCAGCGCGTTCTTCTAGATTTCCAGTTTACCCAGTAACCTGTGTGGAATGCTTGTGCTCATCTTCACGGCGAACTGCGTGTGTCTCCCCCAGGACCTGTACTATGCGTCGGTCAAGGCGCTATACACCGTGGGCTACAGCACTTCACTGGTGTCCCTCACCACCGCCATGGTCATCCTCTGCAGGTTTAGGTAAGCACTGGCAGCCCCTGCAGCACTGGCAGTGGCTGAGTCACCTTCCAGTGACGGTAGCAGCGACTGCGGCCTCGGCGGGTTTAAATACAGCCCCAGCTGCGTGTGTGAACAGCCTGCTGTCCCTTCATTGGGTCTGTTAGTGTTTCCTGTGGGGGCTTCTCATTCCAAAGGCATGCAGGTGAAATGTGTGTATGTACCTGTGTGTGTGTGTGTGTGTGTGTGTGTGTGTGGTCCAGGTATACCTTACCTTGTGGATATACCCTGTTTTTTTTTTACCAGTTTCCTGGTCCCCATATGGGAAAACTCTATTTTTATAAAAATCCGTGACTGCATTGAGAAAAACTAAAAATGCTAATTATTTTGTTTGGTGACTTATGGTTAAGATTAGGGCTGGGTAGTGTTAAAGTTGTCATAGTTAGCATTAGCATTTTTCCCATAGAAATGAGTGAGCGGCCCCCAAAAAGATATGATTACACGACTGTGTATGTGTGTGTGTGTGTGTGTGTGTAGTGTGTGTGTGTGTGTGTGTGTGTGTGTGTTCAGATCAGCTCCCGGTCAAAGATGTTTCCAGAAACTATCCTAGGTGGCTGTTTGCTTCCCAAGGTCTCTGTATCACTGACTGCCTCTCTGGACGATCTTAAGCTGGACGTGGATAAGTTACTACGACAGATGCATTAACTGGAGTTGTATTGAACATGGTGTATGGCTGATATGAGGGGAAAATCCATATATTCCTTTGTGTCTGGCTTTATCCTGTATTTCTGAGGTACAGCATGTGCAAGGCAGTCAAAGGAAATATCCAAGGCTATTTGTATATATAAGTGTATATTTGCTCAGAAAAAGAACACAATTTAACATTAGAACATATGCAAATTAACAGTAACACAATAAAAAGTATAAAACAGAATTTCTTCTGTTCTTTGGTTCCCAAACTTCTCCTCAGGGACAGTAAAGCCAAGACATGTATTCATTACATTTACCACCAGCTCTCTTAATTAATTAACTTAATTAGTTAAGTAACTGAGTGATTTATTGATTAACCAAACATGTTATGCCAGTGGTTTAGTGGGTGTATTGAATGGTTGCTGCAAATCCTGGGATGATTTTAGGAGAGGTTTCAAAACGGATAAGCTGACACTTTGACTGACATAATACGTATCATAGTTTTACACCAATATGAAGATCATTTAAACATCATTTCCTTTGAGTGCCTGAGATTTTCGCACAGCGTTGTGTCTGCATCTCCTTTGTAGCTGCCTGGGTTCAGAAATGCCTGATGACACTCAAATTGGCGTTCCTCGGCCGGTGCTCCTCTCACATCCATGTCTTGCCACAGGAAGCTGCACTGCACTCGGAATTTCATCCACATGAACCTGTTCGTCTCCTTCATCCTGCGCGCCATATCCGTGTTCATCAAGGACGGAGTGCTCTATGCAGAGGAGGATAGCAACCACTGCTTTCTGCGCACCGTGAGTCATGGTGACCCACAGCTTCATATGCGTCGTGATGCTGATGGCCGGTCACAGGAGGCCCGTGTTGTGATGTCAGATCAGTGATCGCTAGTGAGATTTTATATATAGACAACACTGCCCTCTTCAGGCATTTAAAAAAAATTGCAGGATTTTTGTCATTGTTGACAGCTCTCAGATAATTCCTCTTTTGATTTGCTGAGATAATGGGCAGGAATGACTCACATTAAGTCCTACTTCACTTAATGACCCCCAGTTAGCTTCAGTCAGATCACCATGGTGACCGGTGCTATACCTCTCTGGCCCTAGGTGGAGTGTAAGGCAGTTATGGTGTTTTTCCACTACTGCGTCATGTCCAACTACTTCTGGCTCTTCATTGAGGGCTTGTACCTCTTCACCCTGCTGGTGGAGACCTTCTTCCCTGAGCGGACATACTTCTATTGGTATATCATCATTGGTTGGGGTAAGTAGCATTAGCTTCTTTACAACCCACTTCATCTTCTCACTGGAAAGATCCATTTATCCTGTTTTTTACTCAATGCTATTCATTCATACTAACTAAGCTTCTGGACTTGTGAGACATCAAACTGCTTCATCAAAAGTCTTGGGTGTGTCTTTACTCTCTGGATCCTCAATATGGCACTAGGAAGCCCTAGACAGTAAGAGACCAGTTTGGCTCCACATCAGTAGCTCTCCTGGGATAAATTGCAGATGATCACAAAGGACAGACTTACTTGAGTAATCACACTTGCATTAGCAAAATGTTGTTTTCTTATGTAGTGCATCTATCCCAGTTGTTCTTAAACGTTCTACAATGTGTACCGCTTCAGAAAATAGTAGGCTCTTCACATGCCATCTTTAAGACTGATGTCATAAAAGGCTATACCTTTGTTGGCCACCAGAGGGAGCTTGTGTACCATCAGTCAAATGCATACCGTAGTTTGAGAACCACTGACCTAGCCAACCATATGCTTAAGATTATGTCTGTGTCCAGGGATGCCCACTGCCTGTGTCACGGTCTGGGCGGTGCTCCGGCTGCACTTTGACGACATCGGGTGAGCAACCAGCCTGTGGCATTCGATGCTACGTGAGGGTTTGTGTGGGATGATTTGATTGGGCCAGATGTGGCTCGCTCACCCAACCACAGGTCTCTTTTCAAATGTAGGCATTTCATTCAGCCAGTAAAGACAGTGTTTGTGCTTGACTCCCACCGAACACCAATGACTCACTCCACCTCTGCTGTGTTTCTCCAGCTGCTGGGACATCAACAACAACGCTGCCATCTGGTGGGTCATTAAGGGACCTGTAGTGGCATCCATTATGGTGAGTGACGGCAGGGAAAGTTTGTGACAGTGTGTGATGGTCTATGTTTCTTGAGCCAGTCAGTAACATATTAAATAACTCACCTCTTAACACGGAGAGTCTCCAGTAAGCTTTATCACCATTATACTGTGTCAAACGCAAACAAAGAATTTTCACTAGGTTCTCAGGTAATAAAAGTACCTCAGCTTTAATCTGTGTGCTTCAGAACTGCTGTAAATGATTCTGTACATAATCAGGCAACAGATCAAATTAAATGTAAAAGTTTTAATTTGTTTTGTAAAACATACGTGACTCAGATGAAATTACTCTAATATTATTTGTATATTTGCACCCTACAGGCATTTACTTGAAGTGTTTTTTTCCCCATAAAATTCACAAAGATGGACAGCGTGTAAAAGATTTCCATCCTGATCTGGGTGGTTCAGATGCTATTTAATGCCTGGTTTGTTCTCCAGATAAACTTTGTCCTCTTCATCGGCATCATCATCATCCTGGTTCAGAAACTGCAGTCTCCTGACATCGGCGGCAACGAGTCCAGCATTTACCTGTGAGTGAGAGTTACCACTCACCCTCTGAGCAACAAGCTGGGGTTGTAAATTAAAATCTGTGTATCCTATTTCATTTGGACAACTTTAAGCAAGCAAGTATACTGCCCGACAAAGGCAAAAAACAGTAACTATGCTGACAGAGAAAAGGCTGTTTTGCCTTGGTTTTAATGTGGATTTTGTAGTTACTGTAATTTTCACTGGTTTTCCTCAAAAACAGGCAGTGTTGACCTAAGATGTTTTGTCACAAGATATAATTTCGGCAATTTTGAGAAATGTGCAGTTACTGTGTTTTGCCTTTGTGGGGCACACGGTAAGCCTGGGTAAGTTCAATTTGCTTACATTTTTTGGGGAAACTGGTTGCCCATATATAAAAAAGTTGGTTTAACTTAAAATGTAACAAGTTGCTTCTACTCACTCTTTTGCATTTTCCTGCCGAATTATTTCACTTAATATACCAAGTTCGATGCACTAAATTCACAATATAATTTAAATATAATTTGTAAGTGATTTGTCCAAATTACACTGTAAAACAAAGTTCAACTGACTTAAAACTTTTGATGAAACTGATTACCTCAATTTTTTAAATTAAAATCAAAGTAGTTTTAAGTAAGTAGTACATAAAAAAAACCCAACTAATTTTTCCTCTTTCAAATGTAGTAAATTGTCATGGACATGGCATAGTGCAAGCAGAGAAAGGGAGGTGGCAACAAGCCACAGAACCTAAACACACTGGGTAAAACTACAAACTAAAGGACCATGAGGAGTCAGAGCTAAACAGGGGTAAAACACTACAAACAGAACCGTAAATGACCATCAAAGTGAAACCAGTGGCCTGTACTACGAAGCGGGGTTACTGGCTTAACGGGGTAACTTGTCAGATTTAAGGTAGTCTGGGCAAAATGTAAATGAACGAATATGAGGTCCATTTAAACGGTGCTACCTTAAATCCGACAAGTTACCCCGATAAGCCAGTAACCCCGCTTCGTAGTACAGGCCACAGTAATGCAGCAAAACAAACGTGCAAACAGAAACATTCAAACACAATGACCAACCAAGGAACTAAACTAAGGCAGGTAAATAAATATACACGGGTAACAAAGTAGGAGGAGTGAGACATGAAACAATTAACCAATCAGGGAGGGAGCAGGACAATGAGCAATCAGGTAGAATAGTCATGATACAAAGGGGACCAGGTAGGTCTAATACACGTACAGTAATCAAGGAACCCAGAGACCAACAGGGAAACTAAGAAATGGAAGAATATAACAAAGACAAGTAATATATAATCACAAACACAGGCATCTAGCAAAACCCCAAACAGAAAGCAAGCCAAAAACTAGGAACAAGAAAACTAAAATAGAAAATAAACCCTGGGGAACAAAATTCGAGAATTACTAATAAAGAGGAAACTGGGCTCAAATTCAATAAATGGTTTATAGCCACACACTCAGCCCATAGAGCAGGGGTCTCCAACTAGCTACCGAGCTACCGTCCAGTAGGTTTTCTATCATACCTGGCTTCTGATGAGCCACACCTGTTCTCAGGTAAATACCAGGAACAGGTGTGGCTCATCAGAAGCCAAGTGGGACAGAAAGCCTACTGGATAGTAGCTCTCCAGGACCGGAGTTGGAGACCCCTGCCATAGAGCTACACAGCAGTCTGAGGAGCTGGGGAAACACATTAAGAACTTGAAGGACACCGTGAGGACAGGATGAGATGAGAGCACATTGGCTGTGAAGGGCAGCTACCTGTTGCAGCACCCAGGGAGCTGGGGATTAAGGGCCTTGCTCAAGGATCCACAGACTTACTGCAACCAGGCTTAAACCAGCAACTTGCAGCTTGACAGTCACAGAGGCTTAGTCCACTGAGCTATAAGCTGCCAACAAAAAAGCCACTAAAAATCCTAAAATGACTGTTTGATTTATTCATGTATTAAATATTTCAATATGAAATGTAACAGATCGAAATTTAAAGTTCATAGTTCAATTGTATGTTATATAAACTAAACAAATTTGTAATTAATATGTGTAATTATTTTTTTTAATTAATCCAACAGAGCCCATTATCAGTCTGCTTAAATGTAATTTGTATGTTTGGTTGATATTAACATATACATTTTAATTAAATTAAACTTTGTTGATGTAAGGCCATTTTGATTACCAGTCATAGCCTTGTGGCCTTGGATGATGGGTAATATATGCATAAAGGTATTAGGAGAGTTGTGATGCCTTCCGGGAACCACTCACTCCCCCGTAGACCAGTAGTGCTGGATGTATATTTGCATAGCAGGATATATGGTACTGCCTTTTATTCAGCAGGTTTTTTTTTTTTTGCACAGTGTAAAACCACGTTTTTGTTTTGTGATAATTTGAACTACTCCCATAATTGTGTAGTGATATTAAAGGAGAACATTTGTTATGATGAATTGAAGCGTTTTAGAAATCATAAAGGTAATTTTGTTAAAATAATAATATAAAAAGATGCGTCGATTTCAACTATTGATGACCAATTTTCAGCGTCGACGTCATCCACTACGTCGACTAATCACGGCGGCCCTACTTCAAGAGCACGCACTTGTTTATTCTCAATTACATGATATGCAGGGGTGTCGTTAGCCCTATTTTAGGGGAACATATATATATATTGAATATTTACTTATTTGAGCAGCTACATAAATGGAACCTCATACTAGGGCTGGGCGATATAATATCGATATGATATCGCCCAGCTCTACCTCATACCTCTCTAAATATTTGTAATTCAAAAAGAACAACTGAGAGTATAACCATTCCTAAACACTCAAACAATTTAATGAATATATACATCTGAGAAACATTTACTTGAAGTTTTAAAACCCAGTGAAGGCACAGTTCCCTTGGTGAATATTATCGCTGAATTTTACCTCCCGCCTTTTACACCAACTTTAAAACAGCGTCTCGCGCTGTAGTGGCGGCGCGTCTTTTCGTGTCTTTGCTGGAGTTTGGATGCACTGCGTTCCTTTGTCTAATTTTTTTATTTTTTATTTTTAAAGCATACGTTCTCCATTAATATTTATCTAAGTTAACCCGCTGCAAAACATCTACTGTGTTGAGCCTGTATTTATTTATTTATTTAATGCTAATTTTCAAATCCTAGAATCGCTTCTGATGACATGTATACTTACACTGGAGTGAATGGTATTGAGCAATCTTGTGAATGTCAAAGCCGGTTTAAAGTACAGTTGTTTCAACAACAGCTGCTCACAGGGGGCTGTGTGAAGCAATCGATGCAGATGAGCCGGCGTGACACGTTGGGTGATTACCAGCTGAAACTTGTAAACAAAACGCTTTGTTTCTCTAAAGCTGTTAACAAAGCTCTTTTGCGGAATCCGAGACGTAGAGATTTTTCAGTTGCGTTGAACATCGCTTTGGTTGTGTTTTGTGTACTGTAAAATTGTAAATTGTATATTCTATTTTAGAATAACGTCAAACATAGTTATGAAAAACTTAGTTACCAGTTAGCTTTTGATTGGTACTGTATATATAATTTAATTCCCAAAATAATTTCTCAAAAGTTTTTATTCGAGCGTAATGTCTGGACATTATGTGGTCATATGAGTGGTGCCCTCCTGAACGTGTCATGTGACCAACAGGAGACTGGCCCGCTCCACCCTCCTGCTCATCCCCCTGTTCGGGATCCACTACACGGTCTTCGCCTTCTCGCCCGAGGACGTCAGCAAGAGGGAACGGCTTGTCTTTGAGCTGGGCCTCGGGTCTTTCCAGGTGCGTGCAGAAATTCAGAAAGCCGCTAGGTGGCACTGTGCACATCTTTTTAAATTGTCCCATGTGTGCCTCTGCGGCACAATGCAGAATCACCTTTGGCCACTAGGTGTCTCTCTGCTGAATAGGTGTTTTTGATCTCATGGAAACACAGTTCCCTTCTCATCCATCAAATGCTCTCACATGTCTAAATATAAGACTTGGCTAGCATGCTGAAGCTAATCGGGTCTCTAATTCCCCTTCCATCTGTATGCCTGCAGGGATTCGTGGTGGCTGTGCTGTACTGCTTCCTCAATGGAGAGGTGAGTCCATGTCAGAGCTCCTCCTTCCATTAATAGGACTCCTCCTTCTCCGAAAAATCACCCAGTATATAACCCTCTGAAGAGTCTTTGATGACTGATAACTGCAGTTTCTCCATGTCAGCGTAAATAAAGTCCAGCCTATAGCCGCTTCACCAGCAGATATATACATTCAATAACCATCTTATCAGTTATGATAAATGAAACCACAGTCTTCAGTCAATTTCTGTTGAGCCTACATTTTACTTCTGGAAATATTATGCAAATGAGCTACAGGCCACAGTTTCTGTCAGGGCTACGCATCTTTGCTCCGGACAAGGCTTGGTGCTTTCAGGGGGGTTAGGGGGTGGCTGCATCAGATTCCTCATGAAAGGGTGCAATCCAGATGGCCCGACAAATTTGTCCAATTGTTTGCGACTTCGTCAGATCTGTGTTCTGTCTGAGTGGTGGTCGGCGGTTGTGTTTAAAAGGTCAGAGGTCAGGTCAACTTAGCTCCTCTGTTTATATCAGACAGTGGTTGGATTTGCCAGTGACACTGCTGTAATAGTCCAGAACATTCTGCAGCAGCGTTGAGGAAGTGAGGGGGAGAAATCGCGACACCTTTGCAGCTCGGTACATTAAAAAATGACCTTTTCAAGTTTCTCCCTAAAGGTGCAATCGGAGATGAAGAGGAAATGGCGAAGCTGGACGGTGAACCGGTACTTTGCTGTGGACCTGAAGCACCGGCACCCGTCGCTGGCGAGCAGCGGGGTCAACGGGGGGACGCAGCTGTCCATCCTGAGCAAGAGCAGCTCGCAGATCCGCATGTCCAGCCTGCAGGCGGAGACGCCGGCCACCTGAGCGCCTGAGAGTGGCCTCTGGAGCCTCGCCACACTCGCCGACACACACGCACACCTCACACACACTCCGGCCCGCCATCCCAAAAACCAGCAAACCCCATTCAAAACCTGCCCGGACCCACCAGACACCCAACAGGGGCCGGCACAGTCTCGCTTGCCTGCCTGCACCACGACCTGGCAGCTATCGCCCCAGTGGTCACCATACGAATATATTGGAATTGCCAAAAAAAGGCCAGTGATATTCCTTTGAGAAATACGCACTGGAAATGCCGAATGTTCATTTTCTTGTACATAGTGAACGACGAGTGAAATGTCCCTTCGTCTCATTCTCATTCTACTTGGACTGAATCGAAATGCAGGAAACTGCGAGTCGACCACTGGTCGTAGACCGCTCTTGCCCGAGGGACCACGGAGCGGGTCAGGGTGGCTGGCGCTCGGCCCAAGTGGGGTGGTGGTCATCAGCTCGTTAATGGCAGAGCCTGGCCGCCCATGTGTATCTGTACATAAAATCGACGTCGCTGTCTGGAAGAAAATGACCGATGGTCATGGTCGTCAATGAGGAAGCAGCCTGTCACGGAGAAAGGCGTGGTTCAGTAGGACATGTAAATATCCATCCGCCATGTTTACCACGGTAACAGGACCTGGTTCACTGCGATGCCGATGTGCCCTGCGGTACCTGCATGCGTTAATGCGTCTGGAATTCCGGTCGGCCTGCCATATTCCTGGATTGTCATCTTAGTGCCCCCTTCTCCGGCATATTTGTGATCCGGGGTTCGGAAACAGAGACGAATCAAAGCTCTATGGAAAATATGACCACAAAGTATCGCTGTGGTTCTAGGGGATACCCAGCTTCTCTCTGGCACTGACTTGGGTGGAAGTTGCCGGAGTTTTCTGTATGGTTGCACCACCTGGATGGAGTGGTACCGTTACCTCTAAGATGACACGTGCGAGAATGAGGTCACGTGTTCATAATCTCCCTGCTGACTAAGGAAACCAGTAAAGGGACAGACTTATGAGGTATCATCAGAGCCATGACATTGCAGGAGGTCGGACAGTGTCGGTTCATGAAGGATTAGATTTATTAACAGCGACTAAAATTAGGAAACATCAGTTTAGTCCTAGAAAATAAATAAATAATTTCTAAATGGAGTATGATTTGATGAATCACAAAATATTGCCAACGGCAGCATAATTTTTATGTACTTCTGCACTGGCTATGAAGTGGAAAATCTGGAGAATTTTTTAGTTTATTCAGAATACTTTTCTTAATACAGAGTATTCTATTTTATATGTTAAAAAACACACTTCCCCTGAGACTTAACATTGTCAAGATGTTAAAAAGAAAAACTGAAAGATCTCTGGCTATGAAGAGTGCATTGTGTCAAAAGCCTTACTACAGCGGAATGCCTATAGCATTTAATAGCCACCAGTACAGAAAATGTCAATAACTTCTGTGTTTCTCAGAATGACCTGTTTAGTCTTTTTAAATGTTGTGTGTATTTGGTACTGTGATCGTTTAAAAATTTCACTGATATAAGAAAATCCTTGTGTTGTTATTTTAAGTCCAGAGCCCAACCTATAGCGCTCATATAAAGGTTATGTAGAGAAAGTTTATATAAATATCAATACTTGGAGCTGTGGGATTTCTATCAAGCTGTAAGATGCAAATGTAACAAGTTTTGGGCTGTCCAGTTGATTTGTGGAAAATATACGTGTGTGTGGTCTACACTAATATATCCTGTGATGCCTGACATGGACGAGATCTACACCAAACAAGGCAGTAAAATTCGGTTGTTTCTTCCAATTATAAGATTAAACTTTTAGACAATTTATGCTTCGTGATAAGCATGTTACATTGCTCGGTATATTCATTCCATCTTCAGAAGTGCCTTTCCAACCACATAACAACTGAGTTATCCTACAAAGAGAACATCTGCTTCTCTTTCCGAGAGCCTCAATGATCTGGAATGCAAAGTGCTTTTTATCGGAGCGTGTCAGTAATTTAAATAACTGCAGCTAATCATCCCTTTAGATGAGACACTTTCTCTCTCCAGATGCCATAACCTGTGGCCACAAGAAACACTTAAAAAAACATTACTGGAATATCCTAGAATAAAGTGAGACATTTAAATGAATCCCACAAGGTCCATATTCCGTGACCTCAATGAATAAAAATAGTATAGTCTTAAATTTACTTTATATTAGATATATAATAGAGTGAAATGCAAATATTTAGAAAAGGAGTACAAAATAGATTATTTTCTAACTGATTTTGTAATACCACAGTGATATTATTTCTTCTGATGAAATATATGCTAATGTAGATTTCAGCAACAGTTTACAGTATCAAATAGCACAATGAATTATCACCCTGCGTGGCTGTGAGGCCCAGACTTCTCTCTGTGGCATCTTTAGGTTTCCCAAAGAACTCAATAAGCCAATTAAGAAAACAAAGCAATCCCCATCTCACAAGTTGCAAATTTTTTTTTCTTCATGTCAAAATTCACTTGAGCCATCTACTGCCCCCTAGTGGCTGCCAATTCCTCAGACGCCTGTGGCCCATTTTGTTGCTGTGTTGACAAAAAAAACGTGTTCAGTACTTCGTGAATGAGCCTTAAATATTCTCTCCCTGATGTCAACGCATTTGACTGCATAGGTCACTTCAGCCAGTACAATGGTGGTTTGTTTCTGTGACTCTTTGTCACAATACCTGCCGAGGTTGGTTAAAACCTTTGTCTTTCTGTACTTTTATATTATTGTCTTCAGTGCTAGTGGGTAGCATGATGTACAGCCTGGTGCCCGTGTGGTAAATTCGTGCCCTATAGCCACCTTTCTGCTCTTTATATGCATGCTTAATTGTTATTTTTGTGTAACATGAACTAAGGTGCCAATAACAGTATTTTTGACAAGGGAAGACGAAAAGATCCTTTAAAATGTTGTCTACTACTGGGATAAGTGTTTGATGAACTCGTGAACGGTTTTGGCCAACTTTGACAGAAGTCTATTCAGCTCCCAACCCAGACCAATCGCATCCCCCAACGAAAGGAGACATCGATTTAAATGGCAAGTATTTGCCAGAAAAAGAAATGGATTTTAGAGATGGTGTGCTTTTTATGCGAGTTTACAACCAGAGAATACAGACGAAACATAGACATCTCAACATGCTCCCCACAATTGGCATGGCAAGTATCTCTGCGCATGTACTGAGTGGCGCCAGGTTCGGAAACGGTTAAGTTCAGGCTTAGGCTATGCAACACGAGTGGCTTAGAAATTAAGCTCAAAGGGAGATCGGTGTTTCATATTATATATAAAAAAGATCTGAATTTCAGTGTAATACTTCTCTAAATTTATGACCCGTGAATGTGCTGAGCATGTTATTCGGCATTTATGTATGATATCGTTTGACTTTCCCTTGAGGAATCAGGAACCAGCTATTCCACAGCTGATTGTAAACGAAGATGGGTCAAGGCGTGAGGCCAGCAGCTGGACGAGCATTTCGACTTCAGCGAGGCCTGACTTGGACGGTTTATATAATACTGTTTTTGGTCTCATCTCCTCCTAAAACCTGAGGGGCTTATTTTAGACCGGACCTGGTTATCTCTTTGGGGGGGCGGTGAAGACTGGTGCGGGAGGGATTATGCACCACAAGTCTCTCTCCCACAGCACGGCAGAAATTGGGCAAGCGAAATACTACATATGAATCAGATTTCATATTTAAACTATGAGCTAATCCAGTCTTGCATCTTCAGGGGAGTCAGTCAGGGGGTGTTTTTTTACAGTTATATAAATATATGACTATATTTGAGGCAGGAAGGTGGTTCAGTGGGAGCCTCACACCTCCAGTGCTGGGGCTATGATTCTTCCCCAGGCTCTATGTGTGTGTGTGTGTGTGTGTGTGTGTGTATGTTTCTTGTCTGCTGTAACACAGGGGCACCGCTACAGATTTTGGGCCCCATGAATGTATATCATATTTTGCTCCCAACTCAGACCATTCCAATTAGGTTGCATATGTTTTAGGGCCCCTGTCACTCAGGGACCCTTGGAAAGTTGAACGCACCCCCTCCTCCCCTATACGGCACCCCTGATTTATATTGCTAACGAGTTTCCCAATGTTTACAAATCAAGGCCATTGGACGATATAACTGTACTGAAATAAGCATAGACCCCCCACCAGGGAAGAAAAAGATCGACATATACATGAAAATGTAGGGAGAATAGATTGGTACACTTGAAGTTACATGGGATAAGTTAAACAACATATCAGTTGTCATTTGTGGGCTTTTTAAATGTTTATGTTATTCTGCAATATAAGCTACAGTCTGCATCCATCCCTGAGAGTTTCCGGTACACAGTAATGGAAACCTCATGTGTAAATAAGATTGGGGTCAGAGTTACGCTGACAAAGGTCAAAGGTCATGTCCGCTCTTCTGCTTGTTGTATGGTTATCCACTTTGTTTTTGTTTTTTTTTTAGATTGACCACACTGTTTAAATGTCTGTTTTCTTTCAGTGTACATATAACAGATGAATTTTGTACACCGTTGAAATATTGACTTTTAATCGCATTAAATGTTTTTTTGACAGTGGGTTACTTGCGATTGCTGTGCATTTCAGTAGGATCACTGGCTGAAACAGAGAAGCCAGAGAACACATGACTGGATAGAGGACAAACCAATGTGAATGCAAAGCAAAACAACACAGTGGGCAATATCCAAATAATTTAAGAGCATGTTTCTATAAATTCTGAAAGAATTTTACAATACATGGATCAATGTTTAACTACCATCAAACTGTGAAATCACTCATTTTACCTGAACAGAATTACAACTATTAGCAGTTTATTTGGAAGCTAAACATATGCACAGCTGTTTAAAGCACGAGCCATTTCTATCCACCGTGTAGTTCCAAATTGCTTAGCAGCCAGAACATCAGGTGAAGCAGGAAGTGGTGTCCAAAAATAGACAGTTCCGTGACCCTCCAGTAGGGAGCGGTCTTTTCTGTACCTCTGTCAATGGGAGACAGTCCAACCCCCCCATCCTCTGGGTCCAGAGGGAGAATCCCCTAACTGCAGTAGTCAGAACTATTGTTCTGCTATCCAATAGCTATCGGTCTTCACACAATGATAAGATCACATGATTAGGTTTAAACACATCAATATTCTGAACAAGGACGACCACACTCTCTACCGTATCCCGAACATGACGCATGTGTTTTACCTTTAACATATAATCATTTACCATATTTACTAAGCAGCCTCTTTAATATAATAATTTAACCTTATGGCTTGACGGAATAAACACATTGAAGCTATTCACCTGTATTATTCCATTTAAAATATATATCCACAATTAACTTCTGACACAAAACACACTGATGGACAAGCTAAAGGGCTATTTTCCAACAGATATTAATTCGGCATTTTTTTCTGTTAATATAAACTATTTACAGCACATCACATGAACATGTGATATGTATTTAAAATAATAAACTTTACAGTTTAGTGCTCCAGGTTTATACATTTTTAAAAAGTCCTTTAAAAAATCCTTAAACCTTAAAATATTCTTTATCTTAAAAAACAAAATCATGTGGTGACTTGATGCAGGCTTTATTTTTCTTGCTTTACGAAGGGAATTATCTTCTAAAAAAATAATTAATATTGCAAATGAGATAGGTGCCTTATTTTAAAATAATTTGTATGGAAAATGTGTGACATCCCTTAATAAAATTCCTAATAAAAGTAACCAGAATTATTTAAAATGATAAAATATTACAAAAGTGTCACTGATGGCAAGGATAGCTGTAAAAATGTCAGTGTGCTGTGCAAATGCAGCACGTTCATAATTATAAAAGTCAAAGAGTTGAGCACAAATATTATACTTAAGAACAAACAACTTATTTCCCTGCTTTTCAATATGTGCTTTAATACATTTAATACTGTCTTTTGTGTTATGGATTGATGCACATTAATAGCTTCACTGTTAAATGACACATGAAAAAAAATCATTGATTTTTTTCAATGAAAGAATCATTGATACTCACAATAAAGCTACTTATTGATACAATATGGGCTGAATGAAAATCTAATATTCATTTTCCTGTTATGTTGTATTAGCAAGTCTATGTCTATATTATATTTCCTGTGTATTATTGACACTGTTTTAATGTATGTATTTTCATTTCAGTCATTCCCTACTCTCTGTAATACATAATTTATAAAATCCATAATTTACACTGTCATATTTTATATAAAAATACCCAGCTTTTAAACCTGTTGCCTGTCACTAGCAGCCTCTAATTCATATGACCTTTCAGTGCAGTCTCCTATTAAATCTAAGGATGGCAGATTAACAGATTATTTTTCAGATATTTTTTTTTCTTTTTTCTCCTATTTTCCCCTATTATAACCAAAACTCAGCATTAATCGGTCCATGGATGTAGACATGTACGTCTGGGATTCATTTGGGTTTATGATTGGTTGGTTAGGTACCAGCAACAGTGACATCACCAATGACCTCAGCAATGACGGTAACAATGACATTTCGGGTCTCATGACAAAATAATTTACAGAACTCATTTACATTCTCTACTGACCCCACCTCCAAACAATATTAGTTTTCATAGCAATGAACGTTGAAGGCGAGTGTTTCTTTTTCCTCGATTGGCACATATGACACACATTTATCTTGCCTCTGTGCATCGTACTGTACACTTCCAACTTCACTCCTGAAATGTCTTACGTTTGTGATCGCATAACCAGGCTGCCCCCTCAGAAAGCAGCACAACAGGATGCCTTTTTGCATCATCGCATTACCTGCGATTTTAAAACTTGTTCATTGTACTGACTCGTGAAACTACAATGGATGCTCACAAAAACAAAGGGACAGGGGCGATTGTAGGATTTTCAAAAGTGGGGGGTATGAGGTGCTATAATTCAAACAGGTGGGCCAACTTTTTCATTAGCCAATGATATGTTTTGAATTGGTGAGTGACTGGGGAGGGGATACTCAGGCGGCCAATCATTTTTCAGCTGGGGCTAGTGCCCCTGTGGCTCCGCTCCTGCAAAGGCTTTGTCCTCTTTGGATGCTGACTGCAAACTCACACTCATTTGAACAGACAGCAAGCGTTTAGTGAAGGTGCCTCTGTCAGTACTTGCCTCTGTACTGGCCCCCCAGGGGGCAGAGGGATCTGGATCAGGCTCTCAGATGGATGAGACGCTGTTCTGGGCCTCGAAGGACAGCAGCTCCTTGGGGCTGGCCTTCTCCAGCACAGAGATCTGCGTGACAGTGCTGCTTTCGGCGAATAGCGTCCGCCGTCTCTTGGCAAAGCTCAGGTAGCCTTGGCTCTGCCACTTGCACAGTCGCTTTTTTAGCTCGGCCTGCACCTGCAGCCATCGGGAGAAACATTCCCTTAACATTCACAAAATGTTCACGCAATGTTCTTGATGCATCCACGTGGTGTTCTCACTATGTACATGTAATGTTCTCGCTACATTCATACAACATTAATGTAATGTTCTGGCAATGTTTACACACTGTTCTCAAATATCCATGCAACAATGTTTACACAATATTCTCACAACGTTCACTCAGTGTTCATGCGATGCTCTCACAATGTTTACACCAGAGGTGGAAAGTTCAGGTACAGAAAGTAAAAATCCAGACTAAGATTTTGTTTCAACTAACCAGTAGAGCATGCATAAAGAGTCACGGTGACAAAGTACTCAGCTGGTTAGTTGAAACAAAATCTTGATCTAGATTTTTACTTTCTGAAGCTGAACTATCCGCCTCTGGTTCACACAATGTTCGCAAACATCCGTGCAATGTTCAAGCAACATCTTTGTACTGTTCATGCAAGGATCTCGCAGTGTTTATACATTGTTCTCATAAAGTTTTGCTCAGAAATGCGAAAGACTGTCCCGTCTTCACCCACATGTGTGACAGAGTATTTTTTGGCTGAAAAATCCACTTTTTCATCAATGCACGTTATTTTTATCTTAGGTTTAAGGTTAGGGGTTAGGGTTAGGGCTGCAGTAAGGAGTGGGATCAGGCACCACAAACTGTGCACATGAGGTCAGGTCAGGCCAGGTTGGGGAGCATGTGCTGATGCAGCGCGTTGCCGCACCCACCACATGGCGAAACTCCACAGGATCCCGACTCGGGACCCCCCAGGCAGACACACGGTCCAGTCCCACCCTCCAGAAATCCATCTGCCGCAGCCAGGTGTTACGTGGGTGTGCCCTCGGCCTGGTCCAGCCCCTCGGGTCCTCAGCAACGAGGATCCTGTGAGCTGGGTCACCCTCAGGAAAACGTGCTATGTGGCCGTAGTGCCGTAACTGACGTTACCTTGCAATGCAGGTACTGTAATGTGCCTCATTCGGGTTTCCTCTAGCAACCGCTCATTCGACACAAAGTCAAACCAGCAGTACCCAAGGATTCTCCGAAGAGACACAGTACTGAAGGAGTCCAGTCTTCGTCTCAGCTCACTGGATAGCATCCATGTCTCACAGACATACAGCAAGACAGGGAGCAGCAGGACTCTAAATACTTCGACCTTTGTCATCTTGTAAAGATATCAGGATCTCCACAAACCCCTTTGCAGCAACCTCATGACCACCCATGTTCTCCTAATCCATCTGCTGACTTCATAGGAAGAGTTAGCAGTGACATGAACGTCACTGCCGAGGTAAGTGAATCTCTTGATGAGGTCGACAGCTTCCCCATAGACAGACACACTATTGAACATACCCCTGGCAAACTCCAGAATCAACTGGGAAGAACGCAGAGGATCTCCCTCCACACTGCACAGCAGACACTGTACCAGTGTACAGGCCGGCCATGATGTCCAGAAGCTTTGGGGGGATGCCGCAAAGTCTCAGGATGTCCCGCAGGGCAGCTTGATCAACTGAGTCAAACATTTTACGATAATCAACAAAGGCTGCAAAGAACTTCTGTCAATATTCACGCTTGTGCTCAATGAGAACCAGGATGCAGTCGATGGTAGACTTTGTAAGCGTAAAACCAATCTGCTCCCACTGCTCATAGGATGACCCAATCAAGGACCTTACCCAGCACTGAGAGCAGTGTTATCCCCCTATAGTTGCCATAATCCAGGCGATCACCCTTCCCTTTCCAGATAAGGACTACATGTCCCATTTTCCAGTCAGTTGGGATGACGCCTGACTCCCAAATGGAAGCAAAGATTGCCTGCAATGCCAGGAGGACAGCCTTACCCCCAGCCTGGAGAAGTTCACCCCGGATACCACAGATCCCTGCGGCCTTCCCTGCCCCCAGCTGATTCACTACCCGTGCAATCTCAGTGAGATTTTGTGGTTCACAGCTGATTGGAGGACAGTGGACCCAGAGATGTCCAACGTCCTAGCCGGAGGGTCAGCTTTAAACAACTGCTCAAAGTAGCCAGCCCAGTGGGTCACAACTGCAGTGTCATCCATAAGGAACGTTTTATCATCCACCCTGACTGCAAGTCTCCGAGGAACAGATTCAGATGTACGTAATGCTTCGATTCCTCTGTAAGCAGGACGTGGGTCACTACACCACAGATGATGTGTCACCCGCTCACAGATTTGTCTAACAAACACCTCTTTGTCTGCCCTCAGAGCCCTCACAACCACTGTCCTCAGTTCCCGGTATAGATTGGAATCGCCACCAAGTTGTGTGCTGTGCCTGCCCTCAATAATATCCAGGGTGCCCTGTGAGATGAAACACCTCCTACTGGGAACACCACCAACACCAACACAACCCTCAGCAACCTTCAGGGTCTTATCATGGAAAGTCTCCCACATCACATTAGAGTCGGCAGTCGCACCCAAGTCTGCAAGCTCCTCACACAAACTGCATGCAAACTCATCAGAAACAGCTTGATCTTGGAGTCTGGCCAAGTCCATCCTCATTCTCCTAGTAACTGATAGCCAACTGGATCTAAGCTGAATCTTCAGAGTAGCAACAACGAGTCTATTGTCAGAATTCACAAACTGGGCACTTCTGTAGACCCTGTAGTTCTGCAGGAGCCTCCAGTATCTGCCCACGAGGATGTTATTGATCTCTTTCGCCGCACCACCAGTATTGGAGTACCAAGTCCAACTATGCTGCTCAGAGCGGTGGAACCAGGATCCAGCAACCCGCAGCCCCTGACCTTTCACAAAGTCGAGGAACATGGAGCCACTCCAAACAGCTACTCCCTGAGCATGTCAGCCATCAGAGCGACCAGACTAAAAGTAGGTATACCCACCCACAGACATCTGGCCACTCCCTGGTCTGCGTACCTCAGAGAGTGCCAGCACCGAAATGCGGAGTTTATGAAGCTCACCCGACAGCAGAGGAAGATGGTTATCTTGCCGGAAAGACAAGACGTTCCACGCGCCTACCCGGAAGGGCCGCCTCAAATTGGAACTCAAGTGCAGCCATGCAGCAGGCAACACCTCAGCACCACACCAGCCCTGATCCCCAACACGCCTGACCCTATTAGCTCTCTGACGGTTTCAACTCTTTCGGGGATGAGGATCCCGAAGGCTTTCCCCCATCCCCTTCATGGTGTGTGCAGCCTTCCTGTGGGCGGCTGCAGCAGAGCTACTCCCATGGGGAGCAGAAGGATGTCGTACCTGTTTAGACTGAGCTGCTGTGAAGTGTTTTACAGTGGCTGGAGTGCCAATCCCGCCACCAACCCAACCAAGCCAGATGCAGTTTAACGTCATACCCAAGACAAAAATGTTGAGGTTAGCATAAAAGGTGAAGTTGGCATAAAAGCCAGCTCCCATATGTCTCAGACTTGTAAATGTGGTCCAAACATTCTCACAAAAGCCTTTAGGATGTTATCAGATGTTATCACTCCCCTGCCTTCCCTACAGCTTGTGCTGCTGTCCTGTTAGGTGTCCCCTTCCGGGACTTTCCAGACTGCTTCTCGGAGACTCCCCGGGTTGCGCGACATACGTCACATCCTGATGGTGTGTGTGTAGGTAATGGAGAGGGCCAGGGTGGGGCCGGTTGGTCTACTCACCTCTCCATTCAGGAAGCAGTAGAGCAGGGCCACAACGAAACCCTGAAAGGCAAAGAGACACACAGGCATCACCCGGCATGCTCACATGAGACATGTACTGTAACATCTCTGTTGAGGGCATTGCATGATTATCGGGGCAGATCTAGGAGTTTTTAAGGTGCGGGAGCATTAGAGGGGCCAGCATTCATATGGGGGGGGGGGGGCAACTTTATCATTAACCAATGATATGTTTTGAGTCAGTTGGCAAATCAGCTTTCAGCTGGTGGTAGTGCCCTATGGATTATTCAGGATGGGGGATGATGGACACCCACATTGCTTCCAGCTCTTGTTAGAGAGTTGGATCGTGGTCCTCCCATCCCAACGTCGCCACCACCTACCTGAAAGGAGCCGAGCCCCAACTCGATGTAGAGCCTGGCTGCCTCCCCAGTGTTCTCGGGCAGGAAGGCGAACACCATGTAGTGTGTGCCGAACAGCGGGATGAGGAACAGCGTTGACTTCGCCAGCCTCCTGACAACACAGAATGAGTCGTGGTCACGCTGCCACTGTGTCACCTAGGAGATGCCTTCTAATTGGGCTGGATTAACCGAAACATTTAAATAAACGCAGCTCGAGATCTGGTGCGAGTGAAGGCTTCTCTTTCATGTGAGAATTCATATACAGTGGTACCTCAGAATTTCTTAAAAGTCGAACCAACCAGTTCGAACAAAAATTACCTAGAACTCGATCTGAATCTCAGAAGTCAAACCGTGAACGCCGACCTAAGATAACTTGTATGCGCGGGGAAATGAGTCACGCGGCGGAAACAAAAGGTAACGTTTCAGTCTCACTAACTGAATACATATATTTAGACAGTAAAAATACATTTAGATAATTATAGACAGTAACAGTAATTATAATATAATAAAATACATAAATACATAAAAATAAAGATTTCTTATTAATTATTTTAATATTAATAATAATAATAATAAAAAAAATGAATTAAAATAATATTGTTGTGCCGAGTGGGGACGGGACAGAACGGAGACAAAGGCGCAGACGTCAGGGTATCGGGAATACGGGGTTTAATTACAGGTAAGGCAGGCAAAATGTAGATGGACAATACAATGACCGGTCTGGGGAAACAAACTGAAATGCGGACTAAATACAGAGGACTAATGACAACAACCAGAAACAGCTGATCACACGGGGATTCCACACGGGGTTAATGAGGGGGGGTGGCACACGGAAGGAGCGGACGATCAGGGCATGACACATTGTTTTTTTTAACTTTACACATTGTTTGGACACATTTGTTTTCTTACTTTACAAATTACTGTTTTGATAAATGTGCTTAGATGTGTTTAGTACAGTATATGCTCTTCTTGTTTTATCCAGTTCATTTTGTGTTTAAATGCTAAAAAAAACATATTTAGGTGTAATTTTTTGGGGCCGGGAACCAATTAATTAGTTTTCCATTATTTCTTATGGGGAAAATTCGATCACAACTCGAACTTTTTGGATTCAATCCGGAGTTCTGAACGGATTTATTTCGAGTTCTGAGGTACCACTGTATAATAATAATAATAATGATAATTATTATTATCATTACTTATAATAATAATTATTATTATTAATAATAATAATAATAATGATGGGGGGATTTTTTGGAAATAGGTGCCCCCACTTTACAACAGGGCAGCCTGAATAAATTTATCCTTAAGCTGAATCTGTTTCATTTATTCTCTGAGAGGACTGGAGGAGTGGCCCGGATATTGGAAACATAAATTCCCATAATCTGACACTGGCAGGGCCGCCCAGACCGGTGCTGGGGAGAGATGGGGAAGAGATTTCGGACACGCTGGGCAGTGATCTGTGTGCCCCTCGCAGTGTCTCAGTACAACATTATTGATTTAGTTGGTATAGCTTTTATTTCTTATTTCATAAATAAATTTATATATAAATGGTAGAATTGGCGTCCCGTCCAGGCTGGGTCTCTCCCTTTGGCCCTTTGCTGCCTGGACTTTAGGGCCCCCTGCCATATCCCTGACTGTGATAAGCAGTAATGTTGTCAATGCTGTTTTGTTTGGTTCTTCTATTAAATAGTTTTCTTCTGCTTCTCCTCACTTCCTAGCTTGTAGTCTCATGTAAATTCAGAAGCATCTTCTGCCATGTTCTGGGGGGAGATGTATCTGAGTGGGGCTTTACTCGCACACCTGCCCGTGTGACGTATGACTGGTGCTGCCTATTTGGTTTATATGTTCCATAAACTAAAAAGAATGAATTACAGTGGGGGAAATAGTGACTTTGCCCAGGAGCTCAGCTCAGCCTGTAAAATGAAGAAGCACATCGCTGAAGATGGCAACGGGCAAAAAGGATTTGGTTGGGCAAATAATTAATCCAACCAGATGTGGGAGATACAGCATGCTTTGCAGTCCTATATGGGCATCAGACCCCCAAGCCTGCCCTTCCTGTCATTAAAGGACAGCTGTACACCAGCATCTGCATCTCCTGTCTGATATTTGTTGGCCAAGTTGCCACTGAGTTATGGACCGCTCCGCAGGTGTTTCTGTCCATGCCAGGAGGACTGAGAAGTTGCTGATCCTGTCCCAATGCCCAAAATTTTCCCAAAATGGGACCACTGGGTGATGAGCCTAATCGAAAGGTTAATGCATTAGCCTCAGTCCAAGAACTGTTGTTCCCCTCACTGTCAGGTGAAGTATCATACTTTGTAAACACAACACTGCCCAGCACTAACTTCATCCATTTACAATCGTTTTGGGCCACAGAAGCATGATGAATTTTCCTGTGTGAACAGCCGACACCGGGGCCAAATGAGTTGACTCACGTAAAATGGCTTGTGTCGTTGCCTCCCACACTGGGCGACTTGAGCTTCTGCACCAGGATGCGAATCACGTTGATGAAGATGATGAAGTTGACCTGCACAGCGGACATATTCTGGTTTGGTTACTGAGATGACCGCCCACTGGAAAAGGCTGCGTAGGAAAGCTTACACGGCCCGGTCACCACGACCAGGAACCAGAGCCGCCGCACTCACCAGTAACGACACTGTTATCGGACCCTTGATGATCCACCAGAAAGCTGCATAGTCGTTATCATCCCAGCATCTGACATGCAAAAAAATTCATTAATAAGCAGGAATTAATGCACCCGGTTTGTGTGTAAATTAACTGAAAGGCAACTGGAACTCATGCTGTTTTATCAAAGGCATCTTCAGTCCAATGGGATTTAAGCTTACTAAGGAATAACACTGGCCTGCCCTCCGTCTCACAACCACACTGACTGCTTTTAAATGAATTGCTGCTACACCGCCAAGTCGTCCTAGAGCAAACACTGTAAGTCTGTGAGTCGTTTAAGGACTGCTATAAATATGGTATAACAACATGCAAACAGGAAACGATCTTTTCAATTGTGCATATTCTGCAAACACACTCTTGCCCTTCTGCCAAATAAATAGTTAATAAGTTACTGTTCTGAGCTCTTCCAGCTGTGGAGACACAGTGAAGCAGGGGCATTTTTATACTGTGTGCCCTTCACCCTGCTCACGAGATGCTAGTGGGCAGATGTCTGCACGAGATGTCTGAAGCAGTGCTTCCCAACCTGGGGTACAAGTCCCCCCCAAGGGTATGTAAAGTCATGCCAAAAATTCTGAGACAAATTCTGAAACAAAGTCCCACTTTCCCATTACTCATGCATGCATTCCAGTTTGCAGTCATGGCTGCAGACTGGGGCGGTTCTAAGGTAAGGAGTGAAGTGGGGTCTTGCAGAGAACCCTGTCAATGAGATGGAGTTCACGATTTAAAAGTATAAAATTCCGTCTGTGTTGATGACGGCAGCTCAGAAATATCAGTGACTGGCACTAGTACACATTCTGTGGCAAGCCAAGACACCACATACAGTGAAGCCAAACCAACACAAAACCATCAACAAACCAATCTCACTCAACAGCAATGCGTCAAGCGGAGAAGTAGGTACCATGAAAGAGGTGCAGATTAGACGAGAACGATATTCCAGTAGGGTTCACATGTATTGGGAGTGAAAAATTTCTGAACATGCTAATGTACTCATTTAAATCAATATGCGGGATTGACTGCACCAAACTAAGTCAAGTGTCTCATAGTATGCTGTTTATGTAGTCTGTAAATATGTGTTTTTATGTATGACTAGAGCTAGAGGGGGTCTACAGCAGTGGGTTTTTAATATCTATGGGGGTACATGACTGTAAAAGGTTTGGGAATCACTGGCCCAAAGAAATCTGCCATTTCTTACCCTCTGTTATCATAGAAGTTTCTTGTCAGCACCCAGATGGTCAGAACCATCGTTGGAAGACCTGAAGGAAAATCACTCTCTGGTGTCATTGACTTTTGGAGCACTAGCACAGCACCAGCATTGCGCTACCTGTATGAAGATAACTTGACAGTAACTGCAAAGACCATACAGTAAGATGTCACCTACCCCAGCCAATCAGGATGTACCACCAGAAGTACTTCCTCTGTGACACAAAGGTGAGTGCCAGCAGGGTTTGCAGGTACATCCCTTCCACCAGCAGCCAGAAGTAATTGGCCAGGATGCTGAACTGGAAGAAGGCCACGGCAGACTTGCAGGCGGTCTGTTGGGGTGGGAGGAAGCCATGTCTGAATACCACTTAGACAACTTTTCTTGGTTGTGATTGGCAAGTCCAGGGGTATTGAGCAGTCAGGTGGCCCCTGTGACTCATGACTAAAGCTCCTCTCCTCCATCATTTGATTACTTCATCTATCCATCTATGCATCCATCCATCTTCTAACCTTCTTGGTTGTGGTCATGGGGGACTTTTTCCACACGTGGGACACGTTTTACACCTGTCTGCTTCTAGTCTATCTGTAATTCCTGTCAGGAGCTTTGGAGAAGCCATGTTTGGAAGAGAGGTACATTAAAGCAAGCTGAATCTTATTTATCCGAATAAAACAGCACAAGCATCAACTGGCCACTTCACACAACCATGGCTTTTCAAAATCAGGTTCCCGTCAGCCTCCACCAGCTATTGAAAACCTGCAGGTGAGACCTTGGTGAATTAAACCACCATTTTCTTCGACCACATCCTTATGGTTGTTTTACAATAATATATTCTGATATCTCATAGGTAATGGTATGTCATATTAGTGTCTCATAATTTTTAGGGGACCTGCAAGAGTCATTAGTCACTTGTTTTTCAGTATTTTGAGCAGAATATGGATTTGTGTTTAAGGGCTGGTACACAGTCCAATGTGCTCCATACATGTCAGGTAGCAATACAGTAGTTAAGCAACGGCGCTGATGATCTGAGTATTGGCTAAACGTCCTTTTGAACGCGAACATCCTCCCAGCAGCAGATACGGCACAGCGTGAGCAGTCGAGTGGCCTGTCATGGCCGATGTTTGTCTCCCTGATGGCCCTGCTTCTGCTGTAACAGCCTCAGGTCCTCCAGGTTCTCCAACTGTGATCAGCTGACCTTCACAGGTGAATTTGCAGGAAAAATGTAAAGTGTTTCACTGGATGAGCTCAATCCAGGTCCGCTTGTACGAGGACGTGCAATAGTAAATAAGAATTGGAGACATTACTCAGTGCATGATGCTAAACTGACCCTTCTTATCACATTAAACCCCAGAGTTGGACCTTCAGAGACAAATATGTCTGTCTTCAGGCATAGGCAGTGCTGTCTGCTCCCTCCACTAATCCAACCTTTCTGCCATGTTTCCTTTTCAACCTTGTTAAATACTTTATTTATTTATTTTTTTATTTTTCCAGGCATTATTTAATCTTTCAATCCATTGTCTGTTTGCATTTACTTTCTAAAAATACAGCCCCACGCGCCAGATGGGGCTCTTCGCCTTGGTCCCCCTGCTGACGCCTCTTTGTCACACAGTGCCATCTGTGAGCAGTAATCCCAGGACACCAGTGGCTCTGTTCAGACGGCACCATGCTCCTTCCCAGCTTCCCAGGGGCACTTAAAGGGGCGGAGCCACAGAAGCGCCACTCCCAGCTGAAAACTGATTGGCCACTGGAGTGCCCCTCCCCCGTCACTCACCGATTCAAAACATATCATTGACCGATGATGAGGCAGTCCCCTCTGTATGAATTATCACCTGTCTTTAGCCCCCTACCTTAAAAAAATTCTAGAATTGCCCCTACAGCTTCCTCCCTCTGCTTTCAGGAGAAATATAAAGGTTTATTTAAATGCAGTTATGGCCTTTTTGCACCATAGATGCCAGGCTGTGTGCCGTGAAGGCTCGAATAAATCCTAGAAAACACAAACAGACCCATGACAAGTTCAACAATGTCTCGAATCATGGTCAGCACAGGGGGGAGGAAGATCTGTTTACATATTTTCATACGTTTGCGTTGGATATTTATAGCTCCAGCTGTGGCTGCTCTCAGAGGCTCTGGTGGGGGGCTACACAGTATAACGAAATAGGGAAATTTACAGAGTCTTTGATGCTGTCGAAATAATTGTAGCTTTTTGTTGTAGGTTCCATCCCACTCAGGGCCTCTGTCTGCGTTTGGTGAAGCTCGTGCTTTGCGCTCTAAGGATTTTGGAATTCTCTATACGCTTTACGTAATGGAACCCATTAGTCACACCCAGAGGGTCACCTGACCCACGCCTGGAGGACCCCCCGCCCCCCCCACAATCTTACACTGCTAATCAGCTTGGCTCACCGTGGACACGAAGCAGTGGTCGAGGGTCTCGTCGGCGAAGAGCACGCTATCCTTGATGAAGACGGCGCTTGCCCGCAGGATGAATGAGGCAAACAGGTTAATGTGGATGTAGTTCCTAGTGCAGCGGAACTTCCTGTGGGCAGGGATAGGGTCAAGGATCGTACCATCTTTCTGACACTGGGGTCCATGCAGTCCTCATATATCCCTACGATTATTTAGGTGGGATCTATTGATGCAAGGATGTAGGAACTGGGAGGGGCATGTACACCCCTAATATTTAATTTGGATTTATTAATGCCCCCCCCCCCACACACACAAAATACAGACCTTTGTATTAAAACTAAGTTGTGTCCCCCTCAATATCAAACTCTCCCTTTCGCCACTGCATTTACGTTTCCATCAAACCATAGATTGAACTGATTTAAACTGTCCTTCAGCCCTTCAACTGTTTCATGGCTATTTTATAAGCCCTTTATCACAGCAAATGTGACAATAGCTCAGCAGATCTCCCAGATTCTGCCTCCAGGGAGTCTGACATCCTCAGAGCCAGGAAGCCATTTTTAAAGGACCTGGACGGGCATCCCACCGAGCACGTGCCCCGCCTGCCGCCCTGGAACCGGCTGCAGGCTGCCTGACAGCGTGCACCAACTACGGAGTTACAGAAAGCATGGATGGATGCCTGGCCTTTGTAAGACAACTACGGAGTCTTTCTGGAATTCTTTCAGGGAATCACTACTGATGACCTACATAAAGGTGCTTTATATAACTTTATATATTTATACAGCTCTGAAAAAACTAAGAGACCACAGCAAAATTTTCAGTTTCAATCATTTGCCAGTTTATGTGTATGCACCTTTGTAAAATATACATTTTTATGCAAATTCCAGCCTGGCTCTTCCCCGCTTCTCATTGATGAAGGGGTTCTTTGCTTAATGGGTCCTGGAGTCCTTCTTGGAGCCTGATATGGACTGTCCTAGCAGTGCCCTTCACACCACTTAATGTTTCCCATTCCTTTTGAAGGTTACTTGAGGTCATCCTCTGATTTATGAGGCACTGCTGGATACGTCGACGGTCATCTCTGGCATTAGAAAGCTGCTTCTGCCCTCTGCCTGGCAGGCTTTTGGTCATTGCCAGTGTCTCCTGCTTCACCTTGTGCTTGTGCACCGCTGTCTTAGAAACTTTGAGCCTGAAAGCAGCCTGCAGTGCAGTGCAGCCTTTTGCCAGCAGAACCAGGATTAAGCCTGGATTTACAAATGCAGATTTGAAAAAAACATGCAGTGGTCTCTTAATTTTTTCCAAAGCTGTGTGTGTGTGTGTCAATACATATATACATATACATACACATATGTATATATACACACATACATATATACATATACATACACATATACACATATATATATATATATATACACATACACACATACACAGCCATAGATAATCTGAGTACCTGAAGGCGGTGAAGATGAAGATGGCAGTGATGAGGGACACCAGCGATGTGGCGTAGCCAGCGGTGTAGACCTGCTTGAACGTTGAGTAGTATGTCGTCTGATGAAGACAAAAAGCAAAACAAAAGGACTTTCGTTCGATTCAGAAGAAGTGTGATGAAAAGACCAGCCTATTACTTACCCTAATTGGACAAATAAACATTTCCTAAAGGATCAGACAGTAATTATGTAGCCTTGAGCATGTTACACCACCAGACACTCCAAAATCCATAACAGAACTGCAGGCTTTGGATAAAATCATCTGCCAGCAAACTAATTTGTTTAACTAATGATTAATCAAGGCCCTGAGCAGTAAACAAAAGAGTCTGTGGGGGGCGTGCACTTAGTAAACAGTGAGTATTTGCTTCTATCTTAAAGAGCTCTGTACAGAAGCTCCCAGGTGTGCTGTCTATGACAAGAGGAACTGCTGCATATTCATGGTGGCTGGATCAGGCTTAATTTCTGACATCTCTGTGTGTGTCCTGGCCGATTCGCATTTCTATGGGTATGTGTGATTCAGTTTGCATCACAAAGACATATATAGAACTCACCCATATATCCATCTATTCGCAGACAGATAGCTATACTGATGGGTGTCGCTGGACATTTTGGGCCCCATGAAAAGATGTCATATTTGGGCCTCAAACCCAGACCAACCCAATTATGTTTGTAGCCCTTGTCACTCAGTGCCTTTGCAATTATTCTAACTTTCTCCTACTGTTATGCACCCCCGGATACACTATATGGCCAAAAGTTTGTGAACACAAATTTGTCCAACATCTCATTCCAAAACCAAGAATATTATTTAAGCTTGTCCATCCATTAGATGTCAGATCACTGCTGGTGGGATCTGCTGTAATTCAGATTCGAGATTGATGCTGGGTGACCAGGTCCCTTTCTTCACACCCAGTACCTACCACTTCACACCCAGTACCTACCACTTCACACCCAGTACCTACCACTTCACACCCAGTAGCACCCAGACATTTTTGACCATCACAGTCACTTGCAGTTAACCAGGACAGGATGTCGTCCTGCGATGGTGCCAGCTTCAGTCACTAATGTCTTCTGTACAACCATCCTTTCTGCTGCTGCTGTTTGTTGCAGGAGATTTTGTCCCTGTGCGCTTAATTATACTCCTGTGTCATCAAAGGGTGTGGGTTAATTAGGCAATGCCTGTAATTATTAAGGGTGTCCACATGCTTTTAGCCGTGTAGTGTAGATAGATAGATAGATAGATAGATAGATAGATAGATAGATAGATAGATATGATGATGATGATGATGAAGGGTGTCACCAACTTCAGACTCGGCCTCATCCTTCTCCCGGAATTCGCACACTTCCTCATAGGCAGGGTACAGCTCCGTCCAGCCCTGCTGGGTGCAGTTCCTGTGCACATAACCTGGTGACGGACAAGAGGCGAAGCTTCTTAGAAAGATGTGACCTTGCAGTTCATCAGGGTGACACTGATGAATAGGCAATGCTGCTATTTTTTGGGGGGGCAGGGGCGGGGGCATTTCAGGACCATGCGACAATAACGGGAAGACCTTCCACTCATTGAGAACGAAAGTACAGAAAGTGTTTTAATTATTGGCCGTTTTACACCTAAACCTGGCCACACCTGCCTGAAAATCTGGTGTCGTCAAAATCAAAAGATAAAAATGATGATTCTAAATGTTTAGCTGCTACATTTTTTGATGACGCTGTAGGGACAAGTGAACCTGCTTTGTCTCTTTGCTCCTGTGCAATTTACAGCTTGTCTCAGACACTCGTACGTGTCATAAATATCACGAATAAAGTCAGACAGCAGTGTGTGCATATGGCGGATGGCGTTGGATGGCGCAAGGGGAACATCTCTCCACCATCCACCTAATTCCGGCCGTCTCGCGACACCTCCTGAGTGCGATGACGTTCTTGTGGGATGAGGGGGCTAGTCGCCGTCCCTAAACCAGACCCTCATCTCGCCATCAGCTGATACCAGATTATTAGAATTGAAACACTTGTCAGTTTTATTGGCACGCGATTAACTCTGTGGGGGCTACCGGAAGGTTCTGTCAGCCTCCCTGTATCTCTCAGAGCAGCGTCTCTGTATAAACCCCGCGCTGTCTGTCACTCCCGCTGTTCGGGACGGCACCCGTCAGCACTGGGCCACCTGGCTCGCGGCAGCTGATCGGAGTTTGTGTTCCTCACACCAAAATTACCCGAATTACAGAAAGGCTGGCCTGTCTCTCAGCTGAGGAGTATGTCAGTCACATTCTGGAGTATTTCACACGGGGGGGCAAAGCATAGAATGCCGTGTTCCTGCATCAGATGATCTGATCTCCCTTTAATTGTAATGTTTACCACAGTGCGTGTTGAAGGAGATCGAGAGAATATTTGGCATGTATCTGCTATACTTTCAGCAACACCGTGGTAGAATAAGTCTAAGTGCAAGGTCACAATGTGTCACAATGAGACGGAACAACAAATACAGAAATCCCATAAAAACGTGTGCGATTTTCTTAAATGCTGAGCCAGACTTGTGGTGAAATGGCCTAATTTGGTTTATTGATTATTAATTGAGGAACTCTGCGTGGGAATAGGAATCACTGCATATTTATACCAGCCAAGCTAGCATGCATTAACGCTGTCCAATCAGGGCATTCACAGAGTGATCTGCTTGCAGGATATAATATGCACTTCTGCCTTACTAATTTCCACATAAAACCGTCACTGGGATTTGGGCCCATAACAGCAGGTTTTTAGCATCCGTTTAGCTTTTAGCATCTCATTTCTCGCCCCATATGCTCACCGATCCCCCTCAGAAATCCCCCTGGGGTCTCTTCCTCTTAGTCCCCTAACCTCCAGTCATCCGCCAGCTGCCCCTCTGCCTGCCCTCACGACCCAGCTGCCGGCTCGCTCTTCGTCGCAGGTCGTCTCTGCGATATCAGATGCATCTGTGCAAGTTCCAATTTCATATGTGAACTGAGCGACATCTCCCTTAAAAGCATTTTCCTTACAAGTATGGACCCTGAGGTTTTACACCCCAAAGGGCCCTTCGTATGGTGTGATGGTGTCTAAGTTGTGTACAGTCTGTAAAGCCTGTGCCACCTTTGAATCGGTCTCTGGCTTTTGGGACTTTCTAGAAGGAAGGATACGGGGGAGCTTTTAGCCAAGCGAGCGGCGATAGCTAAGTGGAAACACAATAAAAACGCCTCGCAAGATGGTGTTTAACAGAATCTGTGTGTGTGTGTGCGTCTGTGTGCATGTGGTCTGTGTGCATGTGGTCTTTGTGTCCATGACCCTCCATCTGAAGCTTCCTTGGCAGCAAACTCAATGCGATCATGAAGGATGATTGTAAATATTATCGCCAGAGGATGGATTATTATTGCCAGTGTTCCACAGCATGGGGCAACGGTTGCCATGATGATGAGCAATATCAGCAGATCGACAGAGGGCAGCGTTTGCGTTGGTGCGGGTGGGCGATGGGGGCGAAGGGGTTCAGGTATTTAAAGCGGCCCTGGGAGTTTGTACGTTGAATGTGTGTGGCTTCTGGGAAACAAGGTTCTGCGTGGAGGAGTGCTCTGTGGGCGATTCGACTCATAGCTCGCCGGTGGGATTGCTCTTGCCCTCCCCCTGCATTAATATAGTTCCTGTTGGTTCCACAGAACACCTCCCCCGGTGACTGCGATGCCCTTGGCCGGGCATGGGCCCCAGGGAATGGCCAATGTGTGCGGACAGTGAATCATGCAGCCAGGCTGCTTACACAGCTCTTAATTGTTTTATTTATTTCATTCCGTTCCATTCTTTTCTGACATGTATTATTCGTTTTCCCAGTTGTTCAAGATGCTTCTAAGATATACTGTACCCTTAGCTGGGCCCCCAACCCGAAATTGAATAAAAGCCAATTCCCTCTGGTGATCGTTTAGTACTGTCTGAGAGGTCATCCTCGTACCTGAGTCAGGATGTGGCCAGAACGTCTCTTTATAACGTATAAACCAGGGCCAATGTTTCCCGAGCCACTCACTGGGCACCAAACCATCCACAGGCCAGAGATACCATCTCTAGAGCTGAGAAGACCACCCCCAAAGCAGGGACCATCCCTAGAGCTGAGAAGACCACCCTCAAAGCAGAGACCATCCACAGAGACGAGACCATACCTAGAGCTAAGAAGACCACCCTCAAAGCAGAGACCATCCACAGAGACGAGACCATCCTTAGAGCTGAGAAGACCACCCCCAAAGCAGAGACCATCCCCAGGGACGAGACCATCTCTAGAGCTAAGAGACCATCCCCAGAGTAGAAAGAACCATTCTCAGAGGTTTTTTTTTTTCTTCTATTGAAAGGAAGTCTTGGAAGGAAGCAGAGCTGGGGGTTCAAATGTAAACAAGAGCAGGGAACATGTATCTCAGAGCCAAATCTATTTTAATGTTGAACATAAGTGATTTTCTTTTGTAAACAGAATTTAATTACATTTATGAATGCAGTTTTATAGTGCATCACTGGTCTAAAAGCTCCATTCTGCCAAACTGGCACTGTTCACTGGTCACACCTGTTACCAGAGCAATGTATAAACACAGTCATTTTAATAAAATGGAATGGTAAAGTAGCGATGCGTGTTGTTCCATTCTACATTATGGATATAAACAAATACACATTCTTCCACAAAAGTCTGGGAGAAGTTACCTTGGTTGTTGGTGAAAAGCTGGGAGACTTCGAAGCAGGAGGCATTGACCACCTGCCCAACCTCGGCACGTGACCAGCAGTGGATTTCCACCCACTCCGTTCGACATCCTGGGTGATACAGGAAGCGGGAATATTAAATCACTTCCTGTCAGGAGTGTGGTTTTTTTTTTGTTTTTTTTATTTTATTTTATTTTATTAGAATGTTTAACAGTGCCCTAGTTTTTTTTTTACACTTCATTCCTATTTTTATACTTCTACTGTATTGTTCTTTTCTTTGTGTCTATGTGTGATTGTGCAGTCGCAATGTGAGCAATTTCCTCCTGGATTAATAAAGTCTTCTGATTCTGATTCTTTGTGTGATGTCAGTTTGCAGCAAGGGGACAAAATCAATCCATGGACTGAAAATTCCTCATACAATTGAAAAAAAGAAAATAACTTCATGTTATTGCCTAAGAGACTAAGAAGACAAGCTTCATTTGAAGGCAAACTTTACTGGATAACTGGACATCAAAAAAGTCAAATAAAACTTTGAATTTATAATAAGCTGAAGAACGCAGTACATAAATCCAGAAAGCACAAGCCAAAGGTCTGTCTACAGATTCCAATAAAGTTACGGCTTGATTATTTGGGCATGTCATAATAAAAATATCACCCAGCACTGGCCTTAACTGCTCTAACATAGAAACTGATTATTTACACAAAGATAAAACAACACACGTGTCAGCGAAGTCCTTACCAGGCCCACACGCTTCCAAGAAGAACCGCAGAACCTGAATTCCAGACCAAGTCTGAAGCCCAGTTGGCAAGAAATGTGAAGCTTTTAAGGATCTCACAGCATATTAGTTACAAGACCAAGAGGTGCAAGTCAAAATGCCAGTCTGGTGTTTTTTAGGAAAAATTATAATAATAAGACATTATTAAAGGATTTACATCAAATCACGTTCCTCGAGGTCTGAGCCCTGATGGTTTTCCAGCCTTCCTTTACCTGTGCGCCAGGTGTGAAGACGCTGGCCAATCAGAATCAGTAATTATTAAACGAACTACCTGGGAGAACTGAAAACACGGCCTGGATATGGAATCGTGGGCCAGATTTCAGAAGCGCTGATTTATATGTTGAAGAGAGATGACAGGGAACAGAGATAACGCACCTGCAATCAGTTACTAATTACTGACGACATGAAGCTGGCTTTCCTTGAGAAAAAACTGCAAGTAATATATGCTGAGAGAGAAAGGATGGAGAGAGAAAGAGAGAGAGAAGGAAGAGGGAGAGCAAAAGATATGTTCAGTCCTTATGTTCTGGCTTGCATTTTCCTGGTCTGTTACTCTCTTTGTTAGAGCCAAAATGCCTGTGTTCCTTCTGCTCTCAACTTGTTAAATACCCAGAGTCCCCAGTTCCATCGCCATGTCATGTGGCTCTGTTCTCCATACTGAAGGAACCTACTCTGACACAAGCATAGTGGGTGAAACCCACAGTGTCAAACCCCCACCACCTGCCCACAGTCTGATCTGCAGAGCCCCATGTCCTCTGCCCCATGGTCTGTAAAACATCCTCACTCAAAACAAGGCTTACAAAGGGATATGTGGCAAGGAGCCCCCAGTGTCCTTTATAGAGGGAGGTAGCCCTCAGTGTCTTTGATAGAGGCAGGGAGCACCCAGTGTCCTTTATAGAGAGAGGTAGCCCTCAGTGTCTTTGATAGAGGCAGGGAGCCCCCAGTGTCCTTTATAGAGGGAGGTAGCCCCCAGTGTCTTTGATAGAGGGAGGGAGCCCCCAGTGTCCTTTATAGAGGGAGGTAGCCCTCAGTGTCTTTGATAGAGGCAGGGAGCCCCCAGTGTCCTTTATAGAGAGAGGTAGCCCCCAGTTTCTTTGATAGAGGCAGGGAGCCCCCAGTGTCCTTTATAGAGGGAGGTAGCCCCCATGTCTTTAATAGAGGGAGGGAGCCCCCAGTGTCCTTTATAGAGGGAGGGAGCCACCAATGTCCTTTTTAGAGGGAGGGATCCACCAGTGTCATTGATAGAGGCAGGGAGCCCCCAGTGTCTTTGATAGAGGGAGGGAGCCACCAGTGTCATTGATAGAGGCAGGGAGCCATCAGTGTCATTGATAGAGGCAGGGAGCCATCAGTGTCTTTTTTATAGGGAGGGTAGACCTCAGTGTCTTTGATAGAGGCAGAGAGTCACCAGTGTCTTTTTTATAGGGAGGGTAGACCTCAGTGTCTTTGATAGAGGCAGAGAGTCACCAGTGTCTTTGATAGAGGCAGGGAGTCACCAGTGTCTTTTTTATAGGGAGGGTAGACCCCAGTGTCTTTGATAGAGGCAGGGAGTCAGCAGTGTCTTTGATAGATGCAGGAAGTCACCAGTGTCTTTGATAGATGCAGGAAGTCACCAGTGTCCTTTTTATACGGAGGGAGCCGGCAGTGTGTTTGATAGAGGGAGAGAGTCACCAGTGTGTTTGACAGAGGGGGGAGCGGAAGGGGCACCGTGACGGCAGAAATGACAGAAATCACCGCCCAGCCTCACCGCAGTCACTGGCCCCTTAATGCCGGGGATCCAGCCAGGGCCATTTCTTGCTGATCCCCACGTGTTCCCATTCACGCATCATTAAATCTTCCGTGGTCCGGTTGCAAGGTCACGGCACTCGTGATTAGCGTCGGTTTATCGATGGAATTAGCGTGGGGACGGCTTCGCCTCGGCATGGGGCCGTCATGGGGCGGGGGACATTATCCACATGATTGCATTGGCGGACCAGTGACAACTGAATTATCATAATAATTCACAGGGGTCACAAGGAACCATACAAGTCAACGAGTGTGTTTAGAGAGCATTGATTAAGTGCGGAGGCATGGCCGCCCTGCTACGCATGCTCACACCGGCTGCCTTACAGGGGTATCCCTTATACTTGTAGCTTTGGTCAGTTACATGACTATAATGATGTTTAGCGATCTTCTCACCTAACTGAAAAGTGTGGCATGGCATAGGGGGCAGCCTTAAATCCAGTGTGTGAAATACGGGGGGGTCCGACACCCCCGATTAACCCATGAGACCCCCTGAAAGCCTCATAAGCAAAATTTTAAGGGGGTCTCAAGATCGGTTTTGCACAACAATAGGGAGATGGGGACCCCCCCTGAATATTGACGGGTTTTTCGCACACTGCTTAAATCCTTAGGGTTGGAGGTTCAATCCCAGACCCTGGTGTTGTGTCCTGTGATGGACGGTCATCCTCTTTTGGGTCTCCACTAGCCTTCCTAGAGTAGCCTCAAGATGCATCATGACCCTGCACTGTAGTTGTGACCAGTCTGCCAATAAGACAAGGAATGTCGCTGGGTTTTTTGCCGCAGACGTTAACTCCTAGCACTGCTCTGAGGTCAACTGTGACCTTGATGCAACAAGCTAATCACTTCCCAGAATGGCCATCTTTTGGTCTCAGGTCAGTGGCCACATTTACAGGATGCTTTGCTGTACAACTTCTCATATTACATGTCATTATTAGTTAAGTGGTGAGACACTGGTTTCCTTGTGACCCAACTCAGACAGCTTTGGAAGATCCAGCAGACCATCCCACTCTTCTGCTGAACCTACTACCCATCCCACGCAAGTCCAGAGGCAGGGCAGGATTCTGGGAGGAAGGCTCGAGATAAGGACTGCAGGACTAGGAGTTTAGGAACATGACTAAATATTTAGCACGACATCTAAACTAACCTTTATATGACGCGAACTTCATCCCTGTTCATCCTCCGTATAATCTATCCCCGTCTGTACTTGGCATCAACCTAAACTACACCTGTATATGTTTACATGTCACTTTAGTAGCTCCCAGTCTATTAGAGGTCCTGTGTGTTTCCCCTACTGCTACCTCGAAAAATGAGGGGGGTGGGGGTGGGGGCGGGGCCAGGATGAGCTGGAATTGTGATGTTGGTAACCAGGTTTCAAATCCCAGGTGATTAAATGCCTTTCAGGGTGGTGGTTGCTCAGTAGGTTAGAGCTCTGTGCCTGTGATCAGAAGGTCACTGGTTCAAATCCCAGGGTTGCAGAGTGATTTCACTTTTGGGCCCCAGAGCAAGGTCCTGAGTCCCCAGTTACTGGGGGGACTGGCTGACCCTGCTTTCTCAAAAATGTATGTAGCTTTGACTAAAAGCATCTGCTAAATACGTAGAACTGAATACCCGATGGGTAGCAGCGGCACCACAGTATGGTGTTGTACCGTGTCATTGTCTGTCCCCAAAGAAATGCACAGCTTTGGCCATTAAAATAGCTGGGCACCGTAGAGGAGAAACTCAGGATGGGTAGCAGTGCAGAGCTTCCAGCATTGGAAGCAGTGAGTCAGTGGAGCAAGTCTGTGCTGCCCAAGTGAGTGTGAGAGGATGTCAGAACACAATCCCAAAGGCTGGTACTGTAGCAGGAAGAAACGTTCTTTGTGTTCCCTAAAAACATGCTGGCAAAGATCCAAAGTTGGGTGGAATACTGGCTATGGACCAGGGGTTGGGACCCCCTAGCGGAGGGTCCCCTGATTGTGGTGCAAGTGAAAAAATCATCAGCTTTCTTGGTAGGGGGGCCTCCCAAGGAGAGCTTTGCCTTGGGCTCCTGAAAACGTTAAGCCATCTGCGAGAACAAAAGTCACGTTAAAAACCAAAAGGCTAATTCTCCATAATTTGCTGTAATATGGTCTTATTAAACTTATCTGAATGACTTCAGGAGATTCTGGCGGATGGACAGATGGGTGGTTAGATGGACTTTTGATAAAACATTGGCTTGGTGACTATGTCTATAGAAGGCTAAAAGTCAAAGGAGATAACATTGTGAAAAACACAAATGACAGTATAGAGGAGCCGCACCTCCCTTTATATCCCCCCCCCGACTTGGTTTCCCTTCCCCATCTAATACGGCCAGTCACAGCGTAACCGTGAAAGATAAAACCACATCCCCCTCCCACTCACCATTATCTCCACCTTAATTACAATCGGCAGACAGCAGATCCGGTTCCACTTTATCACCCTGCAGCAGGGCCTCCCGCCCCCCCCCCACACACACACACACACACACCCCACGCCCCCCCACACCCACAAGCCAGCCGTGCTGATTGCAAAGACTGAATAAGGCAGCAGCATCTGAAATAAGGTGTGAGCGGGAAGGAAAACGTCCGGCAGAGCGATAGCTGCTTCCGCGATAAGGAGCGTTTTGCTCAACGTCCTCTGAGCTAATGACTGCTGGCCTCCAACTGCAGTCTTTGCCCTAAGTAAATGAAATGGAGACTCCGCTGAATGATGGATGTACCCAAAGATTAGTGAATCTTTATAAAGAAGTATAGATCAAGCCTTCCGATTACTGTGTTACTAAGAGCGGGGTGCCCCACAGCTCTGCCTTGGGCCCCCTGCATTTTCTTAAGGGGACTACTAAGAAACATGCTGTCAAGTAATGCGACGCTAAAGATGCTACGTCAGAGATGAAGTGAATAAATTGACTGGTCACATGACTTGATCCTACCTCTGGTGCCCCACCCATTTAAAGGCATTTACAGCTTAATATACCGCATCCATAAAGTCACCAACATTGCATGTTACTTGATTTTCTCTCAAGTGTAATTTTCTGGTTTGAGCATTGTGAACTGAAGCGGAATGAGCTCCCTCCGCCGGTCCAGGATGCCAGGAGCCAGCTGCCCTTTAAATGTCCGTGAGGCGTTCGCACTCCCACACAGCGTGTAGCTAAGGAGCTCAGTTTGTGAGGAGCGGCTACTGCTTTCTGCCTCAGGCTGCCTCTCCAGATGTTTCCTCGGCGAGTTACTTCAGCTAAAGTGAGTCACAAGAAATACATACTATACAACCGTAAAAGTACAATATATACCTATTGCCCATATACAGTCTATGTTTTTCTTTATTCCCACACATATTACACACAATGCTTTCAGATTATTTATTTTACATTTATTAGCTATTAATTTATTATAGCCACTATACTTTATTTATTAGCCACTAAAAATACATTATAAAATTATGTTTTTATTTCACTCAATCCTTCATTTCAGCACTGTGTCAGCCACAAGCTCACCAGAGAACTTTGTAAAACAACAGATACTAGCAGTAATGGATGCAGTAACCCTCCAATAAATAAGCTTTGCTTTTCCTTCTTGGTACCTGATGCTTTCGGAATGCGTATAAACTTTCGCATTCTGCTTTTTGATATATTTCAGGGTCCGGCGCGTAAGCCGCTGACCCCAGCACAAACAGCAAGAGGAAAATCAACTGTGTTTGGACGTGAAATCTCTAAAGTTTGCTGATCATCCATTTCTCTACCCTACACATTTACACAGTTCTGATATGAGCAATGGGGTAGAATAGTGACATAGTGGTTAGCACTATTGCCTCACAGCTCTGGGACCAGGGTTCGAGTCTCTGTCCATGACTCCATGTGTGTACAGCTTGCATGTTCTCCCATAGGTGTGAATGTGCCCTGTGATGCATTGGTGTCCCATCCTGGGTTGTTCCCTGCCTATAGCCTCTAGGATGGGCTCTGGATCCTACACAATCCAGAATAGGATAAGTGGTTGCAGAGAATGGATGGATGATACAAGTAAAACCACAAGAAACTTATCCAGAGGGAGGAACAAAATATTAGAAACAACATCCAGGACTGGGTGATGCTCACTATGAATATAGTTAAAAACATAGATAGTTTATATACAGTGGTACCTCGGTTCTCAAACTTAATCCGTTCCGGACTCCGGATCGAATCCTAAAAAGTTGGAGTTCTGATCAAATTTTTCCCATAAGAAATAATGGAAAACCAATTAATTGGTTCCCGGCCCCCCAAAATTTCCCCTTAATTTTTTTTTTTTTTTTTTTTAAGCATTTAAACACAAAATAAACAGGATAAAATAAGAAGAGCATTTTTTTCTTAATGGCTTCCAAAACAATAAAGATCTTATCCCAACATTACCCCTGTCCTGCCCCGATCGTCCGCTCCTTCCGTGTGCCACGCCCCCTCATTAACCTCGTGTGGGATCCCCATGTGATCAGCTGTTTCTGGTTGTTGTCATTAGTCCTCTGTAATAAGTCCGCGTTTCAGTTTGTTTCCCCAGTCCGGTCATTGGGTGTGTTCGACTTGCTTACAGCGCTGGCTTAAAACAACGCATTCTGATCCTGACACAATACATTACGGTTAGATGCATTGCGACCTCTCACCCGGCTGCACAAACTGGAACCGCCTCCGTGACAACACACCTTTGCCCTTATTGGCTGAAGAGTTTAGTTACACGCATGACGTTTGTATCCCAGGCAGTTCCGATGCGTAATCTGCTATTTCTCCCGAATATCACGTAAAGCAGTGAGAACTGGTTTTCAGTTAATTTACCTGGTAAAATAAAGTTTAAATAAATGACATAAATGCTCTAATAGTACATGTAAGTTAGTGGTTTATTTATTGTTAGTTACTGTAATGTTGCGCTGCTTTATTTGGTTAATGGTCCAGCCTGTGAAGAAGGCATTCAAGTAAGAATTGCATTGTAGTATGACTCATTTCCTGGCGCGTACAATTTATATTAGGTCAGCGTTCACGGTTCGACTTCTGATATTCAGATCGAGTTGTAGGTCAAACTGGTTTGTTCGACTTTCAAGAAATTTGAGTTCTAGCGAGTTCGAGAACCGAGGTGCCACTGTGCAGTGATGCTCTTTAAGCGACTCATGGAATACCCCAAAAGCATGCTGGGATATGTAGTTTTAAAGTCTCAACAGTTATACACCATGACCACTCTAAAGGAGCATAAAAATACAGTGCTGGATATTTCAACAAACTCTCAACCAAGCTCCCGGTTTATCCCTTAAACACCATCTCAGGCGGCAATTTCTTGAATGAAGTGATTAAGAGCTTGAGTGGAGTGAAAACCAAGAACGCCCTACATCTCACAGAGACAGGAGCTATAGACCCCTGTAGTTTTCACTAATATGCAAGAACAAAGATCGGATATGTCCCCTATGTGAGAGGAAGCACATGCAAAGAGAGACTGAATTGCTGAATTAAATAATGCAAATCATTATCTGACCTGATATCAGTATTTGGTACTTTCAGAAGAAGAATAATACATCATTAAGGCTGCAACCTCTCAGCGACAGGAATCAGAGAATGCAGATGGATATAAAGTAAGCGCCCCCTACAGGTAAGGAGGATCACCTGTCAAAGTCAGCCACTTACAAGATCCTCCATCCTATGTTGGAAATGTTTGATAAAATCTCTTCAAACTCCTGGAAGATGCAATCTAGATTATAGACTATAGGGATGTTTTGCTGTCATTCCAGTACTTCTTTTCTGTACACAGGGATTAGTCTTCCTGGAAAAAGCCAACAGGTTTGAACGTTTGCCCTAGAATGAATCAAAGTCCTCAAGTCACTTAATAACGTCAGAGCCCTCTTTAAAATAACACGACAGAGCAGGCGTGCTTCAAGTAAATTACACTTAGTGCTCCACAAAAGGCAACCCAGCGGAAAGCAATAATGAATCTTAAGCACAAAATAGCTGCTTATTTTACCGTGTAGAGCGAACGTCTGTGACTCTGTGGGGAATTCTGGCAAACGACTCAAATTAAATATTTTTTTTTACTTCACTTCAATGAGACCCGCATGGCGAGAGGCTCAGAACGTCCTCGATACGCACACCTCAAGAGTGCGACGGCTGCTCCGCTCCGCAGCCCGGCGTGAGATTAGGACCGGAAGCATTTGTCGCGCACTAACACGCTGCCTGCTGCACACTGCGACCATTCTTTTACCTGTCGTGCGGCTGGACGTGCAACTTCAGTCACGAGCCAGTTCATTAATTATAGGCTAACTGGTGTCAGAGCGGCCGGACGGCATAACGGAGCCAGCAGGGCTGAAGTGAGGGCGACTGTGGTCTCGGGGAGGAAGGAGCTCATGTAAATGCAGCTCGGGCTGCTTACAGATGTCTCAGCCTCCCCCCCGAACCCTCTGCTGCGTTCCCCTCTCCCTGAGACGCACACTGTCCCGTTACGTGTGTCTTTCTTTCTCAGTCTGTGCGGGGGGGCAGAGCCTGACGTTCCATCCCACCCCGCGGTCTCCGCGAGCACAGCCCCCGTTTCTAATCTTCCCATCCGCACAGCCGATTACGCCATATAATTGCTGCCCGTGCAGCATCGAGTGCCAGGAGCGCATTCCTCACTGCGCGTGCTCTCTTTCCCATACTTTTCTCGCTCAGATATACATATTGAAGTGGAGAGGTCACTTGAGGTCATCCCTCTGGCTTCAGCAGTGCCATGCTGTGCTTTGGCCAGTAATTTGCAGCAGGACAGTCTTTAATTATTATTATTATTATTATTATTGCAAATATTATTTATTTATGTATTCCTCCTCATCATCATCATTATCATTTTTATAAAGCAACCTGAAGTAAAGAAGGAGTTTAAGATGCTCCATAGACATTTTTCAGTAGGACATAGGCCATTTTCAAGCTCTAGGTTACCTGGAATGCAATATGTGTACAATCACATATCATGGTTTCTCATTTGTCTGCTATGCCAGTTTATTAAAGGGTCAGCTTATCAATGAGGGTCTCACATGTAAGACGGACCTACAGCTTTTGGGTGAAGAATGAGAGCTACTGAGTAACAGCAGACTTCAGTGTCTGGCTGTCTGTAAGGGAAACTTCAGCAGCGGGTGGGGGGGATGGGGGGGGCTTACCTGACCGCATTGTCTGGTTCTGGGCCTCCTGCCTCTGTGTTTGCAGGCACTGCTCCTGGGCCTTGGCCAGCTGTGATATTATAGCACAGTCTGGATGGATGGCGTCCACCTGCAAAGGGGGAGGAAAGGGTCAAAGGTCACAGCGATAAGGTGGCATCGCGATTGGCTTCAGAATTAGGTTACAGTTCCAGATGTGGCTTTGTCCCGGTTGCCCTGAATCAAACACCTTCGAATTAAGATTCTCACCTCGGACCATTTTACTAAAACGTTTTATGAGCTATAGGACCAGTAGGTCACTTTGGCTAAAAATCATACTTTTTCCAGTTTGACACACTAACACAATTAGCCACGATATTACAGTGAAAAGCCACTGTGTGGAACTAAAGGAAATCTAATGCAAATAAAATATCTCAAAAAACCAGAGTACTCAGCTGCAAACCCAGAGCAAAAACTTTAGATACCCTGAGTTTGCAATTTAGTTTCTCTGCAAAGGTGCTGTAGGAAACCATGTCATGACCACGCATTTATCAAGCTGATGGGCGCCTTGAATTTACACGTCCTGCTGTCACATGACCTGCAATCACATGAATTGGTGGGGTCTCTCACTTGCCGTTAAACCTGTACGCTTGCCCCTTTCAGCATTAACCCTGTGAGCTTTTCTGACAGGAATAACTATCCGTACCATGCAAAGGGCGTGGGAACAAAAATACAGAAAACGAAAATGATTTGTCAGAAGTAGGACTCTACGGGAGAAAGGAATCAAGAGGTTGAGTCTGTCATTGTCGCTCAACACAGCGTGTGGATTTAGCTGCCCACCCAAGGGATAGAAAGATCTGGAAAGAAAACTGTGAATCTGTGACTCTCTTGAGTTCGATCGAGATACGGGGATGATGTGAGGAAGGTTTGTCACCAGCCCTGTCAATAAAGGTAGCAGCTTTGGACGGCACCTCAGTGACCTCCTCTGCTGGCTCTTTGAGTGTCATATTAGAAATATGCATCCACTCTCCTGGGAAAGCTCTCTTTTTTTTGCATTCTTGGGAAAAAAGCAGAGGTGTTAATTTCAGGTCCAGAAAGTAAAAATCCAGACCAGGATTTTGTTTCAACCAACCAATTGAGTATGAAGAGTCACTGTCACAGAGTACTCAGCTGGTTGGTTGAAACAAAATCCTGGTCTGGATTTATACTTTCTGGACCTGAAATTTCCACCGCTGGAAAAAAGCGAGATGTCAGTGATCTCGGGGTGGACCCTGGTTGCCCTTTTTCTGCGGGGAACTTTAAGTGTGAATCCTGTGTGAATGTCAGCATCCAGGTGAGAAGTACCATGTCACTCCCTGCCTCTCCACTCCCAGGGGCCCGATTGCAGACTTTCCTGTCGGCTTTCTAGCTGCGACACGGGCAGCATCAGAGCCGCTTTTACTGTGACAGCCTGAATTACCACAATATTCAGGCTGGCTCAGTATCCAGCAGAAACAGGACGGCGTCGCTCTGGGTGGCCTGTCTTTATCTTTGATTAGACATGAATTCATTCCCTCCCACTTATGACTCTGAACGTTACCGATTCTTAAACCTTTGCGACTTCGCTTCAAGCGTATGACAGAAACTGACAGCCTGCTCCATCCTGAAAACGAGCATAAGAGAAGGTGAGAGGTTAGAGTGCATTACTGCTCACAAAGCTGGTATTTGCTTGCTATACTGGTTTCTGTGCTCGAAGGGCTGGAATGACCTAAATCTTGCCAGGAAATGCACCTCACAGTATAACAAAGCTCTAAGCTTCCTTCTCTTCTACCCCACACCGGTATCATCATTCTTCTTGTATAGCTACTCGCCCCTCTGTACCTGTGTCCGAATATATCCGATGCTACATACTGCAGTGACTCTGATACACATTTTCTTTGCTTATTTTAACATATGGCACAGCTGGATATCTTAGCCAAAGGTACAACAGCAAGACCCTACCCGCCTGCAGCCCTTTTTCTTACTACGAGAGATACCTGCATCCATACACACACGTACGTGCAAGCAAATATATATTATATAACAAAATATTATGCTTAATATTATATATAAACCTCAATACATACCCAGAAACACACAGAGGTCACATGCATGTTATGTGAACCATATTATATATGAGTGTGACAAGTCCTGCAAGCACAAACACACACACACACACACTCACAGGACATTGTATAATGAGTATTGTACAACAAATAGCAAATTTATGGTATCTGTAATTTTGATTTTCCATTGTCTGAAAGAGGCAATAGCTGATAATTTCACAATCTACGCAAGCACCTCAGCACCCATTACAGACCATTTTCCTCTTATCAGAGGCTCCCAGCTTAAACATTTATGACTTTTTTCTGTAAAGGACGTCCTTAATCACCAAAAGGGGACACTGTCAGCAAATTGACATGCCGTCCCACCCGCTAATTCTGATCTCACGGATCCCATCTCCTACACCACAAGGACATTCGTTTTTTCACCCCAACTCGGCCTATTTTTTCAAGCGTTCAAGATTTTTATTTTATTTTTTTTTGCATGCCCGTTCACAAGTTCACCAAGTGCATCACATCAGGTGTGGGCGTGGCTTGCGGGCACATTTTAAGAATGGGATCTTGTACAATGGAAGATCCTCTAACCACCAAGAGTCTGCCAACCAGATCCCACCTCGGAAGCTGCTGTTGCCCCCAAAAGTGTGATGGTGCAAAACACGACTTGTCTGATTGGCTGCTAATGAAATGCTCCACTTCACAGTTTAATAAAGGGACACGAGATTGGCTGAGATTCTGGTTCTTAATATCATTTAACGTGAGGACCTGTCTTCATGTAGCAAATGGCCGTCATCCGCAGTGCTCGAACCCGAAGTCTTTGGGTGACTCCGCCCAAGGGCTATTAATAACATCCTCCATTTGTTTACATACTGACCTCCAGTGGTCTTCTGCCAGTGTGCGGCCGTCTGCCTCTGGCGAGGTCGGTTCCTGCGTGCTAATAACGATGGAAGGACAGGCAACGAAGGCTGGCCAGAACAGAACCCCCCACCCCACCCCCAGATGAGGCCCCTAGGAACCAGCCGCGTGAAAGCACACACACACACACGCATGCCTTTGTGCCCCCGCATATGTACATCAGCTGACCCTCCTGGCCTCTGTGCGCACAGATGGCAAGATTCGAGGAGTGGGGGGTGACCTTTAGCCCCCTGCTGGCCACACCACAGAGGCCCCAGATACCAGGAGGACTGAAGCTGCTGATTGGTCATTTGGAAAGACTGCGTTTCTTTGCCTGCCTGTTAATATAGCAAATTTAACTGACAGGGACATTGCAGCAGGGGTGTCATTTTGGCATTGTTTTTACCACCCCCTTTCCCAAATAAATGTGTATTTACTGGCTAAAGTCTTTCAGCCCCCCTCTCTCCAAGTAAAGACTTAGCCCCCCAACCATTCACCTCTAACTCCTCCCCTGCATAGCACAATGCCTTGGTTTCACGGTTTACCTCCAGCGTTCCTTTCATCTGCTGCCCCCGTCTATAATTTAATCCTTTTAACCTACATGTACCGCGGATCCCAATAGGTTTCTGACTGGGAGAGTGGGAGTCTTTCCGGCGGTTTCCGGATCGGCGTGCCGGAGAAAGCCGTGCTCCCCGGCCGGCGTGTCGATGCGGCGCGGCGCAGCCCTGGGATCGATCTATCTTTAGTGCTGATCGATCACAGCGGAGGCCAGGGCGCTCAGTCAAGCCGCGGTAACCGTCTGAGGGACGTGCAGTACTTCCCATTACGTATCTTAACTAATTCACCCATGCGTGCGGCCGAGCGCTGTCCTAGATGGAGCACAACCGTGTATTTATTTAGTGTCCTCTTGAGCAAGACTATGTTGTTCATAAATAATCCCCCCATGACCAATAAAGAATCCTCTATCTTATCTTATATAGATGAGGATTTTTTCCCCTGTTCTTATGCTCCTCTATTTATAATGATCATTAAGCTATAATATTTTGACTCGTCCTTGACCGTTTTCCTGTTTATCCATCCTGCGTTATGCGCTTGGTACGGGAAAAAGTGTTTTGAAGTCGGATGTTTGGATATTTTGAAGTACCTTAACAAATGACACTGGAGCTGAATAGCCTCGGAGAAAATCAGGGTATCATTACCTGGCACCTCCTAATGAGCGTAAATTACGTAATAATGGTTGCAAACCTCACTTGTCCTCCGGAGAACTTCTCAAGGGTGAAAAGCAGAAACCCTTCAAGACTGATTTTACGGGCAGATTTCCTAAGATAGACGTTACTGGCTCACCTTGGCATTACAGTAGCAGTGTTTTTAATGAGACCATATAACTCAAGACCACTTCAGACTAAAACCGGAGAAACAAATGAGAAATAATCCTTTCCTAACATTTACTCACATAAGTCCATAGCGGGAGCAAAACCAAATAATCCATCCTTTCTAAATTCAGGAGAGAATCAGCTGGAATCAATTCAAGTCCTGAGATACTGAAATCTACCCATAAGCAGTGAGTTTGGCGGTAATAGGTTAGGTGCAGGTGTTACAGGGAATAAACACTGCATGCCAACGTATCAGTGCCGGATTAACAATTTAAAAGGAAAAATTCTGAAGTAGACGTTTGTAAAAACAACGGGTGAGATCGAATTACTTTATATGAAGGTCCGTTCTTCACAGTGCAGTTGTCAGAGCTGAGTTTCAGGAAGGACGTTTGACAAGAAGAACGGGCAAGTTCTTCATAATCGGAGAAGGAACAAAATCACTTGCGGTCGCTGTGTTCTAATTCGCACGAAGGGATGTAATTACCATAAACGCCGGCAATGCATTATCCAGCACAATTTTATCAGTCTATTGCGTTTGCCTCCTATATGTGAAACGGTAACTGGAGAAAAGACCGGATTAAAGAAAAGAATGGCGTAGTGTTTATTGCGCTATAGAAGTATTCAGTCAACCAATTTCGCATTGAAAGGATTAATACTATTCTTGGTGTTTGTTCAGATACGTTCTGGCTGCGCTGTAGCTAATGGATTAGGATCAAACCATTGGGAAACAAATCGATACATTTTAGCGAACAGAATTTCCGCCACTAATTAACCTTAATTACGATTAATGTGCTTTCGGATTGTAGATGATTGGAAAAACTGCTGCAATTCGGCTGCGCTGTAATTGTATCTCTGACCATCATGTAGCTTAAATTAATTTTGCATTGTTATTCATTTTATAAAATGTTCTTATTTTCAGGAGGGAAGCGAATTGAACTTCCATAATGACTTCCTTAATATTAACTTTTTGTGGAATTATAGCAAAATAGTTTTGGATTCTGCAATTCTATTCGCTTTTCTTTGGTTAAGATGTTGTGGGAAAACGATGTGTCTTATATAAAATGTTTCATTAATAGGCCGATATCAGAATTATTAAATAATCTTTGTGATGATGATATTTTCGCGCTCAAAGTTATCATAACAGGATCCCAAACTTACCAGCTTCCATGAAGTGTGCTGCACCCACAGACAACATAAAGGCAATATTAATCTCAGTGTCGACGAAGTTTTAAAACAGCTTGTCATTTTGCAAAAAAAAAGAAGAAGAAGAAGAAGTGGAAACGGGGAGAAAAAGACTTCTTTCTATTTAAACTGTCCGTTTTTTAAATTTCTTTGGATAATTTAGGTAGAAAAAATAACCACAGCTGAGACATACTCCCCGAAATTTATTCTATGGGCAAGTATAGAGCATAAATAGGCGAAAGGCAGATGCTGATGTCTGTGAGCAGCAGCGGAGGACGGTCTGCTTCCCGATGTCCCAGTGATGTCTTCGGGTCCCGAAGCTGAGAGGCAGGAGGAATGCAGCCCGCAACCCCACCTCCCGCAGCCCTAACAGCCGCAGCCCGTCGTCAGATGGACCGGGTCGGGAATGAGGACGCCGGGCGCGCCTCGGCTTTCGTGCAGGGACTGCGCTGGACCGTGCAGCTCGCTAAGCTGCGGACGATTGCAATAGTAGGTGCGGTAATATTGTGGCGATTTAAGCATATCCTCCAGATTATCGGGGCTTCAGCATTCAGATTGTAGGACAAAAAAACAGCAGATGAATGACAAGGAGTTCTGAGACGACAACGCAAACCAGTAATAACAGTTTGTGTTTTATAGCCACGGCTTTTTTTGGCACGTCCCCGAAAGCCCATCCTACTCGAGGACGCAGGTGAAGCTAGCAGACGCATTGCAAAGGGGAGGAGGTCGGTAAAAGGAGCAAACTCGTGCACGACCCTGAAGCAGCTTTTGGACGCGCTGACGGTTCTCATGAAGGACATCGGCTTTGCTTCTGTCATGTTCAGGCTTGCAGTTAAGCCAAGGGCTATAACTTTACCCACTGCCATATATGCTTATATAGTTCATGTTCTGGAACACATTCGGGAAAATATCACTTAAAACAAAAACATCACCAAACCATATAACAACAACAACAACAATAATAATAATGTTTTTCCTATTTTTGGCATCTTCCCTCTGAAAATACAGTTCGACTAAATAGCCCATATAGTCTACGAATGTGTGTGTGCGTGCATGTGTGCATGTATGTGCCCGTTCAGGATGCACCCCAGCCTCGTGGCCTTTGCTGCCTAGGATAGAGTACGATCGTGCTTCTGGTCTGACCCTGACCCTGACCACCATAATTAGTTAGAAGACGGCTGTATGGACGAAAGTAAGTGATGACATAATATTACTACTACTACGACAAATATTATTATTATTATTATTATGAAGAAGAAGAATGCATTAATAATAACTTACATTTTCTAGTTTTATGGAGGGAAAATGCTGGAACATTCAACAGCGAGCACAGAGTCATCAGAACAGAAGCATGAAGCCACACGGCGACACTGTGACCCCCGCCCCTTTTCCTCACGCACACGCTAAGGACACGCAGCCGATGCTATGTAGAGTGGTCCCACGTCTAACCCTGGAATCCATGTGTCCCAAACGCCCGTAGGCTTTTACCATGAGGGCAGCCCGCTAATTAATGTCTCTCTGTACTAGCGGCTTCGTTAAGCTTCGTTGGGGTCCTCGAGTGTGAGCCCAACGATGAAGGTGAAGGTTTAATGTACAGCGCCTGCAGAGATCCCAAAGGGGGGAAAGAGGCAGGTATTAGCTATCCACAATCCCCAGAGGAAACCTCTGCCCTGTTTCATTCACATGCCCCTTATTATTGCTAAATTTTGGATATATGGAAGAAGGAGGATGGAAAAGGATGGTGAAGGGGCGTTGTTTACAGACAAAGTGGGATTGTGAGGTATGGGGGTTAGACGATGTCTGTATCCTTTGCATCTGGGCTGGAAGCTTTACATTTTCACAGTCATTCCTGCGTGATCCTTTTAAATCATTAGGCGATTTTTTCTGATGATGATTTACTGGAGACTTTAAAGCAGGGGAGCGAATCTAAATGGGAACGCTTTCTCTCGCGGTCCTGCGCTGACCTGCACCTCCACCAAGCTGACGGTCTGAGGTCTTGTCTCTCTCCAGCCGAGTCTGTTATTGTAGCTGCGTGAGGGCAGGATCCAGCTGCTCCGTCAAGCAGAAACCCAGCTCGGTCCGGTCCAAAACACAAAAAAGAAAAATAGCTCACTCTTTAACCCAGATATTTCGGATCTTGCTGGGCTGTTTTTCATCCCCATATTTACCCATCATCTATCCATCTTATTACTGCTTATCCTGGTCCGGGACATACAGATTCTTGTTTATGTGCTGGCAAATATTTTCTGCAATATAGGCTAGTTGTAATAGTAGTAATAGTTTTAAGCCCATTTTCAAAGGTAAAATAGGCATTTAACTAGTGACCCACAGTGGCGGGATTAACGTGATGTCCCCCCCGTAATTGTTTTAAGACCATGCTACAATAGGTACAACAGCCGTTCCACGGGTCATCCCAGCTCTGACAACTCAACGTCCCAATGGCTATGCAAAACTATTCCGGGATTGGGGTGGCACATTTTCCGACGCGGCGGGAGAGACTTGCTTGGTTTGGTGATCACATGACCAGAGGTCAAGGGTAACTTTATAGACGCACCTCACTCCTATTGCATGGCTTAAATGCTGGACTAACAATGGCCGCTGTCAGTCGCGAACACGATCCAGAGTATCCCGAGTCTGCGCTGAGGGAAGCCTGATCTGTGATCAGCGTCGACCCTAAATTAGCTCAGCAACATGGACCGGTGGCCACAAGCTGTCCGACGCTTCCTGACGCCTTCGCCCATTCCGGCAACCCGGCGTGCCGATATCACCTTTCACACTGTGCACGATTTATTCAAATGAATTCTAATTTATTCTCCGCATGCTCCCTGCAATCCGTGGCGTGTGGACCTGCACGTCGACATCCTTCTGAGGACCTGTTTGAAACACCAGGTAGGACCAGGTCGAACTGAATCACGGTAAGTAATACGGTTTTGGGGCCTGGTTCTAATTTTTCCATAAGATTTTATTGAAACAAATCATTGGTCAAAAATGTGCTATTAGATTCAATCTGATCGATGCTGCTGCTCATTTACAGCCTCCGGTACTTAAAGGTTTACTTGCCATGGTCCAAGAAGATATCACATTGAGACATAAACGAATACAGAAATAAATAGACATTTTTCTTTGCAAAGACTGGCTGATATCAGTGTAATGACTTGCGATCACCACCTTCTATACACTTTTCATTATCCCAAAGTATTCCTAATCTACACCTCCCCAAACACTTACATAAACCTCCATAAAAACTTGCTGGTCCCCTTCATTGGTCGGGTTGTGTGTCCAAGACTACATTTGTCTCCCCAAGTGAATAAAGAGTATGAAGAGCACATGAGAGTCAGGGGAGCAGCAACAATGATGATCCTGCACTAAAATGATACCAGTGCAGCTAAATCTAATCTCAGCACTATTGCAGCACATGTTCGTTTCTTCTCACTTAACATTTCACTGTTAATTCAATTCCCCGCGTATCCACATCCTGTGTTTAAATGGGCCTCATACGTTCTCGTCTCGCGTCTAGTCGGCTCACTTTGCATTCTGCAGCATCCCATTTGATCTCACAGCCAGGAGGTCCGCTGTGCAGACTAGTGGCCCCGGTAACCTGGACCAGAACCAGCTGTGTGGATGTGCTAAGTTAGGGGATGGGTGGGAATGAGAGCGCCATCTACTGACTGAATGAATATTAAATGTAAATAAATAGATGCTGCTACAAGCCCCGTTTGGCAGGTCTGTTGGATTTGGTTATATAAGTGGTTGCAATTGTCGCAGAGGATCTCGCAACGCAGAATTCATTGTGTGTGTGTGTGTGTGTGTGTGTGTGTGGGGTGGGGGTGGGGGGGTGATGCACTTTGATATACCCACCATTAAGCTATTTAACCTGTGTTTGTGCAGCACTATGCCCAGTTATATAAGGAGATGTTAAATGTAAAGTCAGAAAATTATAGCAATTGCAATGATAATTATTGTTCCTAGGGCTGGATCCAGGCGTAGGCAAACTGGGCAGCTGCCTAGGACACTATCAGCACAAGGGGGCCCAGACAAAGTAATCAAACAAACAAACAAACAACAAACAAACAAATACGTAATTTGATTGATTGATTGATGAAACAGACAAATTCAAATTTTATGTGTGTGTGACTGTATGTGTATATATATAACATTATATATACACTTTTTCATAAATATAATTTATAAAATAAGAATAATTTCAGAAAATTTATAACAATACAAATTATGCATCAAACTGAAATGTTTCTGTGCAGGCAGTAACGTGGCCAGCTCCTGCTATAGGTAGAACATGCAGCTGCCTAAGGCCCCTGAATTATCTCTGTTGCGGAGGAAGTGAAATGATCTTGAAATGATCATCAGCTTTCTTGCTGAGGGGGCCTCCCAAGTACAGCTTTTCCTAGAGCCTCAGAAAAAGGACAGAGCCAGCCCTGCATGTACCAATAACATGTCGATAAATGTATACAAATGTATAACTACAAAATATTTCTCCAGAGGAAAAAAAAAATAGAAAAATCTTAAAGGATACATGATCATTACTTGGAAACTGAAAGCGATTCCCTGCCCCATTTGAATACGGTGAGTATTACTTTTGGGAGATGCTGTAATTGGATGCAGAAGCCACAAATGGCTGGCCTTCTGTGTATTTAAGAGACCTTGGCAGCTCTCCTAATCAGTTAGGAGCTGCTGGGATATGGCTAGTTTAATGAGACAGAGGCCTGGAGTGTAAGGCTGAGTGCAGGAACATTCTGGAAGCTTGGGAACCAGCAGCCGGTTAGAAAATGCAGCATCACCAGCTGAAGTAACGTCCTCACTTCCTGTCAGCCCACACAATGTCTCCAGCGTTGTACACTCTCAAAGAGTGTAAACATATTAGTAATTTCAAGGCAGCAGTATTGATATACTGAAGGCAACACACTGATTTTGCAGGTAACAATATTGATATGGGAGGTAATAACATTGATACTGAGGGTAACATTGTTGATATTGGATGTGATAATCACAGCGCTACTGCATGGCATGTAGCAGAATGAACTTTTCACTGATATGGGTGGGTCAATAAGGGAGACACCTCCATAAAAGTACCATGAAAAAAACATGTTGCTAGAATCTTCTAAGCTGAGAACTGTGGGATGCTATGTTATGCTGAAACATTATTATTATTGTTATTATTATTATTATTGTTGTTATTATTATTATTATCCATTGTCATGTATTTGTTGCAGTCTGAGAAAATGATGACACGGGTTTTTGGTGGGGGTGGGGAGATCTGTAGAGCCTCCGCAAAAATTCCCACACCGGGGCCATGTGACTCGGCCCATCTGCCCAGCATCGTCTCCTGTGCCCAAACAGTGACATTTACATTTTCAGCCCACTGGAATTGTTGTGTTTTTTTTTCCCACACCACACATGCGAGAGGGCCAGCTGAATGACGGAAATGCAAATGGCCCAGTGAAAACACCCATCATGCCCCGGGGCACTGTCCGTGGCCATCTTGCCAGGCTTTCGCCGGACATACGAGTCATTAAAGGATCGAGGGACACAAGCCTAATTAGCCTCATCATTCTCTGCCCCCCTTCCCAGAATTCCCCTGCCCCATTATCACTTGATAAGGGTCAACAAGCTCTACAATGCTTTACAATGGAAATTTACGACTTGCGGGTATTTTCTTATTCATTTCTAAATTCATTTCTTTATTACCATCCCACAAGC